CCCGCGCACCTATCCCTTGCTCACCACTCTGGACGGCCTTGAGGAGTTGGGTCCGGGGAGCCTACTGATGGATGCGGGACTGGATCAGAGTTGAAACTTGCTTGTCCCTGCTCTACACAGATGAACCGTGTCCATGGGAGATTTTTATTTGTTTATTTGTTTGTCTGAGACCCCTGTCTCTCCCTGTCTGTGTCCCCCTGGCTGTGCTGGAACTCATTTCAACAGCTCTCAAATTCAAGAGTTCTACTTGCCTCTGCTTCGCAAGAATGGGGATTAAATGGCTTGTGACACCACTGTCTAGAGCACGGAGATTTTAAATTGAAAGCAGTGTTGGAGCTAGATTCATGTACTTTTCAGCTACACGACTTTAGAACATCTGGCCCGGCCTTTAGTCCCAGCAGAGGCAGGTGGGTCTCTGCAAGTTTGAGACAAACCTCTACAAAGTGAGTTCCAGGCCAACCAGAATAACACGATGAGAGACTCTGTATTAGAGAGAGAGAGAGAGAGAGAGAGAGAGAGAGAGAGAGAGAGAGAGAGAGAGAAATATCTGCCCTGCTGGAGAGAGGGCTCAGTAGTTAAGAGCCCTGACTGAAACTGGCTGCTCTTCCAAAGATATAGGTTGATTCCCAGCACCCACAAGGAACTCACAACTACTTGTAGTCCAGTTGCAGAAGCTCAACCTCACACTCTCGGCCATCATAGGCTCCGGGCATGCAAAGGATGCACAGCAACACACACACACACACACACACACACACACACACACAATAATTTTTTAAAATAAAAATTCTTCCTTGGGATGTGATTAAGATGTTAGTCTTTTTGGGAAGTCACGGGGTCCTGATATGCACCCCTGACTGCTCTCCCTCTTCTGTATCTTGAGTACCATTTTCAAGGTACATGAGAATCCATCTCAAAATCTGATAAATATAATTCCAGATTTGGTGTAGTCCAAAATGTTTCATTTTAAAAAAAAGTCTTTAACCTTTAATCCCAGCACTCAGGAGGCAGAGGGAGACAGATCTCTGTGAGTTTGTAAATTCAAGACCAGCCTAGTCTACAGAGTGAGTTCTAGGACAGCCAGAGATACACAGAGAAACCGTCTCAGAGAAAATAAACTTTATCCAGTCAGTAGCTCACAGGCACAACCATGTTGCTTTGGAATTCGTCCTGATTTTCTCTATTACCGGGAAAGAGTAACTTCGCCTCTTCTATCTCTGTTCTAAGCAGGAGTTCCCTGACATTGGGGCTTCTCACTCTTCATAAACCTCCTATCCTCACTATGTGGCAGCTTGTCTATTCAGGCTTAAACTGAGTGGCTTTTTTTTTTTCTCCTCCTCCCGGAAGCTGCTGAAACAACTCTGCCCCAGGAAGCGATTTTCTTCTTTAACTCTAGTAGACTTGCCCCTGACACTAAGAGGAAAGCTGGCAAGCTAAATGTGTGCTGTCGTTTCTGTCCCCCACCCCACCCTCTGCAAAGCACTGTAAAGCATTTGGCTATCATATTACAACACACTAATATTGATCTCCAGCCCCAAGGGGAAGGAGGTTTGCAAGTTTTTGAGACGAATTTTTGATTTTTAATAAAGAATTTGAATAATTTTAAATGTATCTTTAGAGCTCACCATGGTGGTGCATACCAGCCCAGCACTCAAGCGGCAGAGGCAGGCAGATCTGCTTAGTGAGATCCTTGTCTCCAATATATATATAATATGTAATATATAATATATAAATATATATACATATATTTTTATCTTGTGTATGTTCATATAAGTCTGTAAGTGAGTGCTTTTGTGCCATGCTGTGCTGGTGGAGGTCTAAAGAATTTTCAAGAAGGTTCTTTTCACTTTTTTTTTTTGGCTTTGTTTTTGAGACAAGTGTAGCCCCGACCAACCTGGAACTCCCTCTATAAACCAGGCTGACCTCAAATTCAGACATCCATCTGCCTCTGCCTCCCAAGTGCTGTGATTTAAAGACTTATGCCAGCACTGTCCAACTTCTTTTCACTTATTTATTTATTTATTTATTCATTTATTATTTTTGGATTTATTATGTATACAGTATTCTAACTGCATGTATGTCTATAGTCCAGAAGGTGCCAAATCTTATTATAGATGGTTGCGAGCCATCATGTGGTTGCTGGGAGTTGAACTCAGGACTCCTGGAATAGCAGCCAGCGCTCTTAAGCTCTGAACCATCTCTCTAAGGTGGGATCTTTTGCTGCTGCTGTGCTCTCTACCACAGGCTAGCTGGCCCGTGGGCTTCCTGGCAATTCTCCTGTCTCCAGCTCTCATGTCATTTAGGAGTGCTGTTTATAGATGTGGCACCACATCTGGCATTTACAGAGGTTCTGTCAGGCTTCATAGCTAATCACCTGTCTCGGAGAAAAAAATAAAATAAAAAGATTGCATCTCACTGTGTCGTCCAGGCTAAGATACATAGTTGAGGTAGGGTATTCCCATGAATATGAGGCAGACTAGGCTATGCAGGGAAACCTTGCCTCAAGGGAAGGGAGACATGTGTGAAAGAGGGTAAAATATAGATAGGGACAGTACATCTAACCTGAATATTTGGTTGTACTTTTTTATTCCCCGAGACAGGGTTTCTCTGTAGCTTTGGAGCCTGTCCTAGAACTTACTCTGTAAACCAGGCTGACCTCGCACTCAAGTCTGCTTGTCTCTGCCTCCCAAGTGCAGGGATTAAAGGCAAAGGGATGCACACCACTGCCTAGCTGGTTGTACTTCTGTGTGTCAGTAGTTTTAGCTCCTCTATTTTTCAGGAGTTAAGTGTTGTTTATGTCACAGTACTTGGGAGGTACAAGGACCACTGCAAGCTCAAGGCCAGTCTGCCTGGTCTACAAGTAAGACCCAGTGGGATGCTCTGACTGAGAATGTTTGAGAAGGATTCGTACTTGATGAAGGACGTGTGTCACTGGGGTTGGCTTTAAGGTTTCAAATGCCAACCCCATTTCCAGTTAACTTTGTCTCTGTCCTGCCGCTTCCACGTTCCCCACCATAATGACCATGACTCTAACTCTTTGGGGTGATAAGCAAGCCCCCAATAAACTCCTCTTTAATGCCTTGGCCATGGTGCCCCTTTACTGCGATGGAAAAGTAGCGAAGACACCAAGTTGCACGAAATCCAAAAGATGACAGATGAGAATGCTCCTCAGGTAGTGTTGGCCATACAGGCCTGATGACCTGAGTCACTCCTGGGGCCTCGTGGGAGCAGCACATTGCCCCCAAGAGTTGTCCTCCGCATTACCATACAGTCATACATGTAATACAATAATTAAAAATAAAACTTTATATATTAAAAAAAAACCTTTATTTTTAGACAGGTCTCACTATTATAGTCCTGGCTGGCATGAAACTCACAGAGATCCACCTGCCTACTGAGTGCCGAGATTAAAGACGTGAACCACCATGTCAGGCAAAAACCAAAACTTAAAAACAAAACTTAATAAGAGTGTTTTTCTTTTAAGATTTTGTCTATTCCTGGCTGGGGGGTGGTGGTGCATGCCTTTAATTCCAGTACTCAGGAGGCAGAGGCAGGAGGATCTCTATGAGTTCAAGGCCAGCCTGGTCTACAAGAGCTAGCTCCAGGACAGGCTCCAAAGCTACAGAGAAACCCTGTCTCAAAAAACCAAAAAAAAAAAAAAAAAAGATTTTGTCTATTCCTCTCTGCTTCCATGTGTCACCAAAAGCTGTTAGCAATCACTTACTGTCTGTCGTAGAGCAGATGCTCAGAAAATACTGATAAATATGTGAATCTCTCTCGTGTCTCTTCCTCCCTTTAAACTGTGAGAAAAGTTGGGTTTTGTCTATATCAAAAGATGGGTAGCCCATGAATGGCCAATATTTCACAAATCTCCCCACCTCATAAAACTGCTATATAGCAAGGAATCCAAATCTCTTTACTCACCTGGTAAAATTTTGTTTACAAAAAGCCTTGCTGTGGTCGGGAAGTGGTGGTGCACAATTAATCCCAGTACCAGGGAGGCAGAGATCTCTGAGTTCAAGGCCAGACTGGTCTACAGAGTGAGTTCCAGGACAGCTAGGGCTACACAGAGAAACCCTGTCTCAGACAAACCAAAGGGTTGGGAGGGGGGACAACAACAAAACCTTGCGGCATTTCCAGTACTTGCTGGCCTGCACTCGCAGCTGACCCCTTTCCTCTTTCTCTCATTTTCTTTTTGAGGAATCTGTTTGTTTTGTTTTTGAAGACAGGGTAGTTTTAGAGCCTATCCTAGAACTAGCTCTTGTAGACCAAGCTGACTTAGAATTCACAGAGACCTGCTTGCCTCTACCTCCTGAGTGCTGGGATTAAAGGCGTGGCCACCACCGCCTGAAGAGTGTGAAGCTGAGCTCTCACGGGTGGGGTGAGGCAGAGTAGGTCACCCCTTGCATTAGAACAAAAACTAAGTGAATGTCCAGTCTGGCTGTAGCACACTGTTTTTGCTAAAAGAAATTGGTTTGCCAGGTTACTTTTTTTTGTTTTTGTTTTTGTTTTTTTATTATGTATACAATATTCTGTCTGTCTGTATGTCTACAGGCCAGAAGAGGGCACCAGACCCCATTACAGATGGTTGTGAGCCACCATGTGGTTGCTGGGAATTGAACTCAGGACCTTTGGAAGAGCAGGCAATACTCTTAACCTCTGAGCCATCTCTCCAGCCCCTTTCGTTTTGTTTTTAAGACAGGGTTTCTCTGTGTAGCCCTGGCTGTCCTGGAAATCACCCTATAGACCAGACTGGCCTCAAACTCACAGAGAGCCACCTACCTCTGCCTACCTAGTGCTGGGATTGAAGCTGGGCCACCACTGCCTGGCTTTTCCTTGCTGTTTTATTACCAGTTAAGGGGGGCAGAGGCAAGGAAGGGGAACCCAGGCAGATACAGGTGAAGCAGCATCTTGAAGTGACAAGAACTTGATCTGAGTGGAGAGCAGACTGACAGAATACAAGTCATGTGAATGGAACATCCATGTAAAACAGTGGAACATCCGTGTAAAACAGCGGCCTTTAATACTAACAAAGACCCTGAGAGAGCGACCTCCAGAACAGTGCTGAGCTGGCCTCTTTGGGCCCTAAACCTGAACCAGCAATGGAGAAATCAACATATTTACATTAATGTTTGACTTTAAACCCAAGGACAGTCCAGGACCTGAGACCATTATTCTTCCTTTCCTCTTCTCAGACCCTTTTCACCTTTCCTATCCTCATTCCTTCACCCTCCTTTTTCCTGCACTTTTCTTCCTTTTCTTCATCCTCATTCTCCTGATCACCTGTCCTCATCACCTCTCCTGATCACCAGTTCATCTGCCCCTCTAGGTCCCACCGGTTTCTCCCTTGTGCAACCAACCCCACAGCCCACCTCTCTCAGGTCTAGCCTTAAGGTTTAGTGTGAGGACAAGGCAAGGACTGTCCCTCAGCCCAGGGAGCACTGTGGGGAGGAGGCAAGGACTGTCCCTTAGCCCAGGGAGCATTGTGGGGAGGAGGCAAGGACTGTCCCTCAGCCCAGGGAGCACTGTGGGGAGGAGGCAAGGACTGTCCCTCAGCCCAGGGAGCACTGTGGGGAGGAGGCAAGGACTATCCCTCAGCCCAGGGAGCACTGTGAGAAGGAGGCAAGGACTGTCCTGCAGCCCAGGGAGCACTGTGGGGAGGAAGCAAGGACTGTCCTTCAGCCCAGGGAGCACTTGGTGTTTTTCTTGTCAGATGGTTTCAGGTCAGTGCTGGAGGGCTTGCTGTTGTTTCCCTAGAGCCAGGAAGGTAGAAGAAGGGTCAGTGTGTGGGGGGTGCCTGGAGTGGGAGCTCTAAACTCAAGGCAATCTCCCCTTTATGAGAAACCCTGGCATTGGTCCTCCTCCTCTTCAATTGGCCTGCTTTTTTGTTTGTTTGTTTGATTGATTGTTTGTTGAAACAGGGTTTCTCTGTGTAGCCCTGACTGTCCTGGAACTCACTCTGTAGACCAGGCTGGCCTCGAACTCACAGAGATTCACCTGCCACTGTGTTGCCTCAAACTCAGATCCACCTGCTTTTGCCTCCTGAATGATGGGATAAAGGCGGTTGTCCAGCATCGTGTAGTCCAGTCCCGTGCTGCCCACCCCACACAGTGGGTTTCTGTTTAGATGGAGTAGCTGAGGATGGCCTCGAACTCCTGACCTTCCTGCTACCACCCCTCAGTGCTGGGGCCTGTGTTCTGCATGGCTGCACTGCGTTTCTTGCAGACACACACCTAGCAAGTAGAATCAACTCACCAATCTCCGGCCTCCCGACTTGAGCAAGATGTCATGCGCCAGGGAATTGAAAGCCTAAAGGGGAAACCAGTTAGAACATACTGGAGGAGAGCATAAAACTATTGGTACTTTTACGTCTTGGAAGGTGAATCTCACCTCATCCACATTCATACTGGATTTGGCACTTGTCTCAAAAAATCGAATTCCGTGCTCTCGAGCCAACTGTAGGGGGTGAGGAGGGAAGGAGAGAGCTGGTTAAAGGGCAGAAGCAAAGCATTCAGCAATCCCTCCTCACGCTGCTGGTTCTCCCGGGTCTGAGGCAAACAGCCCGGTCCTCTGCCCCTCACCTTATCTGCCTGCTCCTTCTGCACCTTCCTCTTGGCCTCCATGTCACACTTGTTCCCCAGCAGAAGGCGCTCCACACCAGCAGAAGCGTTCTGAAGACCAGAGCAGAACAAGAAAAAGCTGGGTCTCTCAAGTGACTCACACCTATAACTTCTGCTCTTAAAAAGCTGAGGCAGAAGGACGGCTGTGCGTTCAAGACCACAGGGAGTTTGGGATACACAGTGAGTTTCACAGCAGTTGGGGCTGGAGGGAAGGCTTCAGCAGTTAAGAACACAGACTGTTCTTCCAGAGGACCTGAGTCCAATTCCCAGCATCCACTTGGTGGCTCACAACCATCTGTCACTAAAGTCCCAGGGGTCCACCACTCCCTTCTGACCTCTGAGGGCACCTGGTTCACAGATGTACATATGTACACATAAATTTAAATAAATTAATTAAAGTTGAATCCTGCCCATTTTTACATCCACCACCCTCCAGGAGCACCTTGCTCCCCCATCTCTTTTGGAGGTGTCTCACCTCTTTGATGCTTTTCATCCAGTTCTGAATATTCTCGAATGATTTTTCATCTGTGATGTCATATACTAGGATAATACCCTAAGGGATAACAGACTTCACCTGGGACCATATTCCCGTTAGTTTTCTACTGTCCTCTAAGCGACCCTCCCAGTCCCACCCATGGGTCTAAACACAGGTCCTATGGGGCTCGCTACAACACACCTTACCCTCCTTCTTCATCCCCTGCCCCATGCTCGTCACCCTCCATACTCACGAAACCATGACTTTAGCCCATGTCCATACCCACACTCATACCATGGCGCCACGGTAATACGCTGTAGTTATTGTCTTGAATCGTTCTTGGCCAGCTGTGTCCCTGAAGCAGAGGTTTTCACAGGGTGAAATGGAAGCAAGAGCTCCGAGAGGGAAAGTCTTTTCCTAAGAGCTTAGCTTTTGCAACACTGGGGGTGGGGCTGAAAGGAAAAGAGTCAGGAAACAGTAAAGGAGAAACGGACCAAGGACAGTTGGGCTGCTACTCAGAGGCTGCAGGCCTGGGAAACAGGATGTCTCTTGTTACTCAGACGCCAAGCACTGTCCTGAGTATCACTTTGTGTGTGTGTGTGTCATCCTATCTAACCTTCACTGTATCATTGTGAAGCATGTCTCATTGTCCCTATTTTATAAATGAAGCAAACGTGGGAGGCTGGGTACCTAATGAAGGTCAAGCTGAACTGGAGTAGCAGCACCAGGGTTTAGACCCCATCTGCTGCTCTTTTTATCTATCACACCACAATGCTTCAGCAAAAGTCTAACGCCTCCACACCTGCAGCACCTCCACACCTGCAGCGCCTCCACACCTGCAGCGTCTATACACCTGCAGTGTCTCCTGCAGCATCTCCACACCTGCAGTGCCTCCACACCTGCAGCACCTCCACACCTGCAGCGTCTATACACCTGCAGCGTCACCACACCTGCAGCGCCTCCACACCTGCAGCGCCTCCACACCTGCAGCGCCTCCACACCTGCAGCACCTCCACACCTGCAGCATCTCCACACCTGCAGCGCCTCCACACCTGCAGCGCCTCCATACCTGCAGCGTCTATACACCTGCAGCGTCTATACACCTGCAGCGCCTCCACACCTGCAGCGTCTATACACCTGCAGCATCTCCACCTCCTTACAAGAGTCAGGCCACACCTCTGAATGTGACCTCCTGTGCTCTCTAAAATGTTTAAGTTTTATTATTATTATTATTTTATCATTATAGGTAGGGTCTCTCTATGCAACCCTGACTTTTCTGGAATTCACCATGCAGACCAGGCTGGGCTCAGACTCGCAGAGACCCATCTGCCTCTGCATCCTAAATGCTGGGATAAAGTTGCTCTCTAAAACTTAGAGAAAGCAATTGACTGCAAGTCAAATTTGTAATTCTGGAACTTGTCTTTGTTTTGTTTTTTGGTTTTTGAGACAGAGTTTCTCTGTAGCTTTGGAGCCTGTCCTGGAACTAGCTCTTGTGGAGCAGGCTGGCCTCAAACTCACAGAGATCCGCCTGCCACTGCCTCCCAAGTGCTGGGATTAAAGGCTTGGAACTTGCCTTTTAAGCACTTAGAACCTGTTTCTACATCATAGCTCAAAAGACGTTCGTTTTCAAGTCCAGAGAATTCTCTGGGTGAGGAAAAAAACACAAACAAAAGTGGGACACCAGGGACAGGAATGGAAGGACAGCTGAGTAAGCAAGATGGATAAATTAGGAGATGTACTGGACAGAATAAAAGAGAATGACACAAAGCAGAACAGAAAGACCAACACGGTGCCACATGCCTGCACATGCCTGCACATGCCGGTAATCCCAGGACATGGGAGACGAGACAGAAGCAGCAGGGATCAGGAGTTGAAGGTCATTCTCAGCTACATGATGAGTTCCAGGCCAGCCTGGGCTACATAAGACTTTGTCTCAAAAAATAAAATCGAAAAGAGAAGCTAGGTGATTAAACACCTTTAATCCCAGCAGTTGGGAGGTAGAGGCAGGTGTATCCCTGTGAGTTTGAAGTAAGCCTGGTCTACAGAGTGAGTTCCAGGACAGCTAGGGCTGTTACACCGAGAAACCCTGTCTCGAAAAAACCAAAAGAAGAAGAGGAAGGAGAAGGAGAAAGAGAACTGGAAAGAGAAAAAGCTAGGAAGAAGAAATGAGGGATGAAGGGCAGGGCGTGGGTGCAGGGCAGGCCCACATGGCAGCCTGGACTGGGGAGCTGGGGAGCTGGGGAGCTGGGGAGCTTACTTACCAGACTTGCAGTTTGATCCTCTTCCCCTCAATTTCCACAGTTCGGATCTTGAAATCAATTCCTGGGGCGAAAGGTGTGAGGCCAGGTGACTATATACACACTTATTCACTTGTGTGAAAAGTGTGGTGGGAGCGGGCGGGGGCTGCACCGGGAACTCTGCGGGGCAGACACTTGGGGTGACCTTGTTGGATGTGTAAACAGCAAGAACTTTCCCAAAGCTTTATTCCTATAGTAAGCATACTGTTTGTCCTTAGAATTTATGACGTTTTGGAGAAGAGATGAAACTCTCTTCAGGGGCTTAAAAGCGTGCCCCCTGACAGCTTTCACTTCCAACTCCTCGACCACACTTTCCCAGTCTTCTTTTCCCCTCCCCCAACACACACAGACTTTTGGTCCTTCAGCCAGCCAGCTAGCCCTCCAGGGTAAAGAGGAACGGAAAAGGCAGTTGATTCACGTCTCTGTGATTTAACTAGTGGGCCAGGCTTGGAACTGACGGACTGAGGCTCCATAAGATTCCTCTGGGGTATCAGTTCATCGGGAGAAGCGGTTTCTTTCTTTCCCTTTATCATCAGACTTGAGAGTCTCGGTCAAGAGGAGATGAAGATGAAGAGGGAGGAGAAAGAAAGGCCACTCTTTTTACTGGAAGTCTGGGCAGATCTCCTGGGGGCACTTAGGGGCCCCAGAGAGAAGGATGAGTCAAGAAGCTTACTCAGAGACCCCAAGGGCCCTCACTTCCACCTTCCTCACCCAGTGCTCCCGGACACTCTCTGCAGTGCCCTGTTAAGGGAGGGGGACTGGGAAGAGGGTTAGAAGGTGGAGGGTGCAGGGGAAGTCTGAAGCCCTGTGGATCAGAAGGAGAACAACAGAATTGGGAAGCAGGGGAAAAAGTGAAATTGTGAAGAATTGGGAATGAAACTAGAGTTTAGATGAATGCGGTGAAGGATGGGGTGGGGATGACAAGAGCCTATGTGGATCTAGGGAGACCAGGGAGTTATTACCAAGAACGGGAGGGGTAGCAGCAATTGGAGTTACCTGGAGGCCTCAGAAAGGTTAGAAGTTCTGAGAGTTAGTCAGGGACATTATGGGGGATGGGTCTGGGACAGGGGTCGAGAGACAGGAAGCTAATTAATGCCTTACTCCAAGAGGATCAAAAAGTAGGGTCCCTATTCATTCAGGAGGGTGGGCGGGGGCAGGGGATGGGTCTGGGATACAGTCAGGGGGCTCACCGATGGTGGAGATGTAAGTGCTGTTGAAGTTGTCCTCTGCAAAGCGAATAATCAGACAGGTCTTGCCCACTCCCGAGTCCCCGATCAGCAGTAACTTGAAGAGGTGGTCGTAGGCTTTGGCCATGGCGGACTCTGGGGGCGCCAGGGGAGGGGTCGGGAAGAGCCAATACTGGTAGGCGGGATCGGAGAGCTGGCAGGCAAAAACCGCCAGAGTCCCAGCCAGGAAGTTTTCCTCCCTCTCCGCCCAGGCCCCGGGAAAGAAGAGAGGCGGCCCTGCTCTGGGCTCCACCCCTCTTCGCCAGTGGAGAGGCCTGTCCAGTTCCCGTGGTCCTGGCGCCGCTTCTCCAGCCTCAGCGAGACCGTCTCCATAGACCTTCCCACTGTCTTTGGCTAACTGTCTTTCCTCTCTTTCGACCGAAGTGGAAAGAGGAATTTTGAAGAGATTAGAGGAAGCGGGAAAGAATTTGCCAATAAGCGTGGAGATGGGGGAGCCACTGGAAATTGATTTTAAAAAAAGCTGAGGCACTATTCAAAGGTTTTTTGAGTTTGAGATGAAGGTTCTTAGAACCTTTGTGTCAGCGTTGAGCGCCCTAAGTATCCAAATCCCTTTGAAAAGAAGCGCGTTGGGTCGACCTGCCCCCTGGTGGAGCACGGCGAAAAATTGAAATGATAAAAATAAGTCCCAACAACAACACTCAAAACACACACAACCTCCAACTCGTGGTAACCCTCCTGTTTCAATCTCTCAAGTATAAAGACTACAGGTGTGAGCTACCATGCCCAGCTTTCTATCTGCTTTCTTTTATTGTTTTTTCAAGACAAGGATTTCTCTGTGTAGCCCTGGATGTCCTGGAACTTGCTATGTAGACCAGGCTGGCCTCGAACTCATAGAGATCTGCCTGCCCTTGCTTCCCTGCTTCCTAAATGCTGGGATTAGGGATTAAACCACAACTGCTCAGCTACTTGTTCTTTTTTTTTTTTTTTTTTGGTTTCTCGAGACAGGGTTTCTCTGTGGCTACTTGTTCTTTTTTTTTTTTTTTTTATTACATATACATTATTCTGTCTGTGTGTATGCCTGCAGGCCAGAAGAGGGCACCAGACCCCATTACAGATGGTTGTGAGCCACCATGTGGTTGCTGGGAATTGAACTCAGGACCTTTGGAAGAGCAGGCAATGCTCTTAACCTCTGAGCCATCTCTCCAGCCCTGGCTACTTGTTCTTTTACCATTTTCTTTGCTGGAAAAAAAAGCTTACAGAAACATTTTTTGTTTGTTTGTTTGTTTGTTGTTGTTTTCGAGACAAAGTTTCTCTGTAGCTTTAGTGTCTGTGCTGGCACTAGTGTCTTCTCGTAGCCCAGGCTGGCTCGTAGCCCATGTTGGCCTCAAACTCATAGAAATCCACCTGCCTCTGACTCCTGAGTGCAGGGATTAAAGGCATGCGCCACCACCACCTCTTAGTTGCTAACTTGACTTAACTGAGGAATTGCTTTCATCAGATTGGACTGTGGGCATAACTGGAGGGGGGCATTTCTTTCTTTTTTATTTTTAGATAGGGTCTCCTTATCTCTACATAGATTTATTTATCTTTTTTTAATATTTATTTATTATTATGTATACAATATTCTGTCCATGTGTATGCCTGCATGCCAGAAGAGGGCACCAGACCCCATTACAGATGGTTGTGAGCCACCATGTGGTTGCTGGGAATTGAACTCAGGACCTTCGGAAGAGCAGGCAACACTCTTAACCTCTGAGCCATCTCTCCAGTCCCCAGATTTATTTATCTTTACCTGTGTGGATATTCTGCCCTTGCATGCTTGTAGGCTTGTGAGTATACTATATGCATACCAGGTGCCCTTGGGACCAAAAGGTTGGTGTTGGATCTTCTGAAACTGGAGTTACAGACAGTTATGAGCCTCCATGGTTGTTAGCCACCATGTTACTGGTGGGAATCAAACCCCTGGTTCTCTGAAAGAGCAGCCAGTGCTCTCAACTAGAGTCAGCTCTCTTTAGCCTTAGGCATTTTCCTGGTTGCTAATTGAAGTCCGAGGGCCGAACTTTGTGTGGGAGGTATCATCCCTGGACAGGTAGGGCTGTTGTATGAGAAAGGGAGCTGAGCTAGGCGGTGGTGGCACATGCCTTTAATCCCAGCACTCGGGAGGCAGAGGCAGGCGGATCTCTGTGAGTTTGAGATCTACAGAGGGAGTTCCAGGACAGCTACGGCTTTTACATAGAGAAACCCTGTCTTGAAAAACCAAAAGAAAAAAAAAGGGAGGGGAGCTGAATATGAACCCTCTGGGAGTAAGGCAATGGTCTTCCTTAGTTTCTGCTTCCGACTTCTGCCTTGAGCTCCCTCAATAATGAACTGTAACCTATAAGTCAAATAAACCCATTTTCTCACTAGGTTGCTTTTGGTCAAAATGTTTATCACAGCATCTGGAAGCAAACCAGCACACATGGAGGGGTGGAGAAAGTGGTAGTGAAGACCTTGAAGCCCCGCAGGTAAATTGACCTATCTGCGGGATAGTGAAGGGGAAAGGCTTTTTTTTGTTGTTGTTTGTCTGTGTTTGTTTTTCAAGACAGGGTTTCTCTGTGTAGCCCTGGCTATTCTGGAACTCAGAGATCTGCCTGCTTCTGCCTCTCGCATGCCCAGCTAAGGGGAAGGTTTTTATTGTGAGAAGGAACAGCCAGGGGTATCTAGAAGAGTCAGAAGAAAGAAAGATGCAGACTGAACAGGGCCAGGGGTGTCTTGAGAACGGGGAGACTAGCAGGAAATAGAGACTAGAGAGATTGCAGCGAGAGGCAGGAGCTGTGCATAGGAAGAAGACAGTAAGAGCAGCAGGTTAGAAGAATGGGGAGCAATTGGAGGGAAGGAGCCCATGAGCTGGAGAGTTTAGAGCAGAGGAGGTGAGAAGGGCTAGGAAGGGAGCAGGACTTTGAAGTGTGTAACAGGCACTGTGGTACTGCAGCCTGGAGGCCAACATGAGCACAGGTAAGGGAAATGACTCCTTTTGGTAAAAGGGAACCAGTTTCACAAATTCCTGAGGAAGACTGGCTTTTATCAAACCACGAGAAATCCTTCAACACTCCAGGTTGAGCTCATTTCTGGATATTTGGTCTGTCCCTTGGAGCTTGGGGAATTGGAGTGTCTTTTGGACCTGATACTCAGTACCCCAGAGGCAAGAGGCCGAAGGAGCCTGTGGGTTCAAGGTCAGCTTGGCTTACATAACAAGTACCAGGCAAGCTAGGGCTACATAGTGAGAGTCTATTTCCAATAAGTAAATAAGAATAAATAACCGCAGGCTGGAGAGATGGCTCAGAGGTTAAGAGCATGGCCTGCTCTTCCAAAGGTTCTGAGTTCAATTCCCAGCAACCACATGGTGGCTTACAACCATCTGTAATGAGGTCTGGTGCCCTCTTCTGGCCTTCAGACATACACACAGACAGAATATTGTATACATAATAAATAAATAAATAAATATTAAAAAAAGAATAAATAACAGCCCTGGATGTGTCATAGATGGAGGTCAGGTAAGCCCAAAGAGGAGGGCCAGCCCCTTGACAGACAGATATTGACAGCTGATGGTTCCTGGGGAGAGGAGATATCATTGTCTTTAGTGGTGTAGCCACTGACGACTTAGCTGAGCTCATGGACAATCATGCCCTGTTGGCAGTTCTGGTTAAACTAGCATCACAGAACAAACCCCAAATAAGAACAAAACAAAGACATGACAGTAGGGGCTGACTGGTTGTGAGGACAGCTTTTTGGGGAGAGAGCATAGTGTAGCTAACCAGAATGTATTATGTGTAGATACAAAAATAATTTTTAAAGATTTATTTATTTACTCTGTATACAGTTTTCTGCCTGTACACCAGAAGAGGACACCAGATATCATTACAGATGGTTGTGAGTCACCATGTGGTTGCTGGGAATTGAACTCAGGACCTCTGGAAGAGCAGCCAGTGCTCTTAACCACTGAGTCATCTCTCCAGCCCATAAAAATAATTTTTGTTTGTTTGCTTTTCAAGACAGGGTTTCTCTGTAGCTTTGGAGCCTGTCTTGGAACTAGCTCTTGTAGATCAGGTTGGCCTCAAACTCACAGAGATCCTCTTGCCTCTACCTCCCAAGTGCTGGGATTAAAGGTACGCGCCAACACTGCCCGGCAACAATTTTTAAAAAAGAGAAGCTGGTGATGGGCATGGTGGTGCACGCCTTTAATCCCAGCATTCAGGAGGCAGAGGCAGGCGGATCTCTGTGAGTTTGAGGCCAGCAGGTCTACATATTGAGTTCCAGGACAGCCAGGGCTCTGTATAAAGATGTCTCAATCTCCACCCCCACGGCCCAAAAAAAGAGAGAGCTAGGGAGGGAGAGGGAGTCAGAGTGGGAAGGCGGTGAGCAGATAAGGGTGCATGTACCACGCCTAATGACCTGCTTTCAGTGCACAGGACTCACCGGGGAGGAGTGAACTCACTCCTGGAAGTGATCCTCTTATCTGTCTCACAAAACACAAGTTAACTAAAGTGTAATAAAGAGTTAAAAAGAAATAAGTAGATAAATCACTCTTTAGTTGTCCCACGCTATCGTCTCGCCAGCAAGAACCATGCAGGACACTAGGATTCTTCTGCAGAAATAGCTTTAATGTGTCCTGAGAGAGAGAGCATCAGCTAACATGGCCGGGGACCCCTAAATGAGGGAACCCCTCCTTTATATAGGAAGCAGTCCTTGTTTCGGACGTGTTACCCTTGGATTGGTCCGCTGCCCAATTAGCCCAGGTGAAGCCTCGGGAGTAGGCGGGGACAGCAGTGGAAAGTTACCTAGCATATGTGCGTTCACCTGGCGGTGAAACCGGATGCCAGCGCCATCTTGTAATGGGGCATGTGGATGCGGCCCTTCACATTTAGTTTTCATGGGTGCTTCTGACAAAAGCTCATAAATTCTTTTCCCCCTCATTCTTTTTTTTTTTTTTTTCATGTATCAGGGTTTTTAATTCCGAGCAAAGTGTTCTGTTTGCTTACATCTCCGGTACTTTAGCAGGTATATTTCATTGCAACGTCATCTCCTCGTATCCTTTCCTTAGCTCACTCTCAAAGCTTCTGCTTTCACCCCATCCCTCTTTCAGAACTTAGTTTACTTTATTCATTTTTTAAATTTTTATTTCATTCTGGGACTCTAACAAATGGCCTCACACATGTTAGAGAAGACTTCTACCAACTAAGCTATAATCTTGGCCTCTGAAGATTTCTACCCTTTGGAACACTGCTACCCAGGGCACCGAGAAGAAAGGAAAGATGAAGATCAAAGCATCTTCCTCCTGGAATGAGTAAAGGTTTGGAATGTCCACCTGCTGTAGCTGCAGAGATAGCTCAGCAGTTAAGGGCTGAGGATGCTTCTTCAGAGGACCCGAGCTCAGTTCCCAGCACCCTTGTTGGTAATTTACAACCACCTGTAACTCAGCTCCAGAGAAATCGGATGCTCCTGGCCTCTTCCAACATCTGCCTGTATGTGTCTCACAATGGCATGGACACAATTTTTTAAACGTAACACAAAATAAGAATCTTTACAATGTCTACTTGTTTATTTCATGGAGGAAGAAAGATGACCAAATGGCTTTGTTAATCCTCATGGAAAAGGATGAAGCGAGGTACCTGAATTCCCATTAGGAGTGGGTTGACAAAGGATCAACAACCAGTTCTCCAAAGGAAAGAAAGCCCTGTGGGTGTAGTGCTTAATCTCAGTGATGTGCATAGACTCACCATGGCTGATACCAAAGTAGTATCATTGAATATGAGCTTGGCAAAAATCTAGTCTTGGGAATCAGTGAGAACTGGTTCTAGCTTATTTTCCTGGCACAGAGTAATTTCGGCGGCAAAGGCATTCAGGCTGCAATCTGAAAGACAATGTGCAAACATCTAGTAGAGAAGAATTCTCGGCTGAAGAAAGATATTGCGAATGCAAAACTGAAGGGCTGAGGCTGTAGCGCAGTACCACCCGACTGGTTTAGGTTCTTAACATTGTACCTTCTCCACAGCACACACACTAGATATCAGAACATGCCTGTCACCTGAGAACTTTCAAGGTGTGAGGTCAGCTTGGGAGGATAAACACTGTTCTCCTTAGAACTGGGATTAAATGTGTGCGCCAGCTGGGCGGTGGTGGTGCACATCTTTAATCCCAACACTCAGGAGGCAGAGGCAGGCAGATCTCTGTGAGTTCGAGGCCAGCCTGATCTACAAGAGCTAGTTCCAGGACAGGTTCCAAAGCCACAGAGAAACCTTGTCTCGAAAAACCAATAAATAAATAAAAAAAATAAAATAAAAACAAAGGCTTTTCCAAGCTTAAATGAACATGTCTCTCTTCATATGTGTATGTATGGGTTGAGCAGAATAATTTTGGGTTTTGGCATATTTGAAATATACATAATAAAGATATCTTTGGAAATAGGTTCTAAGTCTAAAAATGAAATTTATTTCTTTGCTATACACCAAATACTGAAAATAATTCCCTACAATTATTGTAGTGTATCTGCAATTTGTGAACTGTCATGTGAGCAGAGTAGGTGTTTTTTTTTGAGTCAGGGTTTCTCTGTGTAGCCCTGGCTGTCCTGAAATTCACTCTATAGACCAGGCTGGCCTTGAACTCACAGAGTTGAGTTCTGCCTGCCTCTACTGGGATTAAAAGACATTTACCAGATTTGGAGCAGTTAAGAACACTGCCTGTTCTGCCAGGGGACCAGGGTTCAGTTCCCAGCACCCACATGGCAGCTCACAACTGTCTGCAATCCATTTCCAAGTGTTTTCACACCCTCCTCATACAGAAGTATCTCAGAGACATGTAGGCAAAACACAAACATTTACCACCACTACAAGGCTTTTTGGGTTTTTTGTTTGTTTTTGTTTTTGGAGACAGGGTTTCTCAGTGTAAACGGCCCTAGGTGTCCTGGAACTGCCTCTTCTCACAGAGATCCGCCTACCTCTGCCTCCCAAGTGCTGGGATTAAAGGCATGAGCCATCAATGCCCGGGCTTTGTGTGTGTGTGTGTGTGTGTGTGTGTGTGTGTAGCCCTGGCTATCCTAGAACTAGCTCTGTAGTAAAACAAACAAACAAACAAACAAAACCTAGCTCTGTAGACCAGATCTGCCTGTCTCTGAGACACTGGATTTCACAGTCCACCTGTCTCTGCCTCCCCAGTGCTGGGATTAAAGGTGCCACCACGCTGGCTTGGATAATTTAACTTCTCTAAGCAACACAAAAATCTGTATAATGTGGTAATAGTAACAGTTTGCTCATGGTTAATTAGCAGACTTGTTTCATTTTGATTTGATTTTTAGAGACACAATCAGTCCATGTGGTTCTTGCTGCTGTCCTAAACTCCCTAGATCAGGCTGGCTTGAACTCAGTCCTCTCTAGACCCTGCTGGCCAGAGGGCAGCGATAAAAGGTGTGGCCAATCACGTGTGGCCTTTAGTTAGTATATTCAAAAACAATGCACGAGTCAGGATACTTGATTTTATTCTTCTTCAATGAAAAAGAAATCAGAATAATACAAAATCGGGAGCTACCCTTCGCCCTGGAAAACAGCACCAACAAAACCATGGTTAACAATGGTTAGCTGTAGTGGCGCAAATATGAACAGGATTTTTTTTTTTTTCCCCGCAGACCGGGCTCCTGTAGTCCACACTTGACCTCAGATTTGCTATGGAGCCCAGGATGATTTTGAATTTATTATTCTCCCGTCTTCGAAGCGCTGCGATTACAGCTTTGAGTCCCCGACAGCACTGCCTGCCCTGTCCTGTTTACAAAATGCTGGAAATTCAATCCAGGGCTTTGTGCATGCTAAGGAAAAAGTCTAACGTCGTACACCCCCAACTCCAAGAAAACATTTGTTAATCAGAGTATATCGTACGGAATCCCAGTTAATGACGTCCTTTATTAAGCTCCTGGCTGGTGTTCACCTCTGCTGTTCCCGTTACACTCCAGCTGTCAAAGCTTAGGAAGAAAATTTTAACCTATGCATTTTTCTTTTGACAGCAGCAAAACCATGAACTCAAAATAGAAGCTAACTCTCTCACCATGGTTATGCACCCGTGACACGAGGAGCCTTGACAGACCTTCTAAAAATGGCAGCCTAAGGCTCAACCCCTTGTAATCTAACAACAAGCAGGACCTTCCCAAGATGGCAGAACAACACGCACTCGTCACTTCCTGTGCCATACCGGATATAAGGAACAGGATTTCCGCTTTCGCTCCTTTCCGGCGGTGACGACCTCCCTACGAGAACATGCCTGTGAGTTCTTTGGCCCAGGTTTCGGCAGAGCACTCGCTCTGGTGTCTGTCCGCCCCTCTCGCGCTACTTGCAGATCATAGCGGGTCCGCACTTACGCCCCACGTTGTCGTAGGATAGTAATTCCGGAGCCGCGGCGGCCGACCGGCCACCCGCGGAGACGGGAGCGGAGAGGAGATAAGATGGCGGCCCAGCTACGCAGACACCAGGGGCGGCGAGGGGAGAGTTCTCCTCGGTGTGTGACACTGGGGACCGTTTTCCACCATCTCTTTTCACCGTCAGCTTCTAAGTCTCTGCGTTTCTGTCCCTCATAGCTCGCAAAGGATCTCCTTCATCCCTCTCCAGAGGAGGAAAAGAGGAAACACAAGAAAAAGCGCCTGGTGCAGAGCCCCAATTCCTACTTTATGGATGTGAAGTGCCCAGGTGAGGAGTGTCTGCTGACTTTGAGCACTCGGGGAAGAACTAACTAGTCCTGGGCTTGTTGTAGTATGGTATTTCCTTAGAACTCAAAAGTAAGACTTGGAGCTCCATCCTAGAATGCGTGCTTAGATTAGCGATAGATACCGCACAGTTTTTGTTACGGAACAGTAAAGGGATGGCAACACGGGAGCAGTGAAAGCAATGACCGTGTTTGTTGATTTGTCTATTTTCAGGATGCTATAAAATCACCACGGTCTTTAGCCATGCACAGACGGTAGTCTTGTGTGTCGGCTGCTCCACTGTCCTCTGTCAGCCTACAGGCGGGAAAGCAAGACTGACAGAAGGTAAGTGGCCTTCATGTTGGGCTTTTGGCCTTTGAATCTTACGGTGACAGGCTCGGAAAGTAGGTATTGCTAGTCACTGTATTGTCTCAAAGCCCTAGTGCTTAAAGTTGAGGGTGGGCTGGTTTTGTTGAAAGCTTTTCAGTTTGGCTCCAAGCGATAGAGTGTGGTGAAAGGGACTTGAATAACTGGAAAGTAGTCAATGGGGCTGAGAACAGAGTCTCAGGAAGGGTCAGTGCAGGCTGTGGTGTAAGTAATACTTTGGACCTATTTCTTCCAGGATGCTCCTTCAGGAGGAAGCAGCACTGAAAAGCACCTGATTCGAGATGAGTGGGAACCATCCCAATAAACACATTTTGGATATATAGTGTTTGTCTTGTTTAACTTGTAGGAAGTTGTGCCTCAAGTATCCCAGGGCAACCAGAAGAGTGGTCCTTTTGGGTCAAGTAAGTGACCAAATACCCAAGAGTTCATTTTGGCATTTGTAGCTAGGTTCACTGGGTGAATTTTAGACCATGGTTTAAAGCTAGTGATACTGTATAATTATAATTGGGCTTGTGTTCTTCTAATGCCTTTTTTGGTATTTACTGTTTTAGGGAAACACTAGTTCTTAGCAGGAAGCATTAGCTGAGTGGTACACGCCTTTAATCCCAGCTCTTGGGAAGTAGAAGCAAGCTTACCTCAGTGAGTTCAAGGTCAGCCTTGTTCTACCAGAACTAGTTCCAGGACAGCTAGAACTATTACACTGAGAAACCCTGTCTGGGGTGGTGGGGGCGTGGGGTGAGGTAGGGTAGGGGGGAACAGGGACAGGAAGCATTGTGCCATACAAAGGTGTGTGACGGTCTTAACATTCAGGGAATGACGATACACACTCAGAAGAAGCAGGCAAATTCAGAACAGCTGGGATTACTGGTGTAGTAGGTGTGTGTAAGACAGGGTCTTACCTAGCTTCAAGTCTTCTGTCGCAGGGGATACCCCCTCCCCTCCAGTGATAGCATATGTAGGTGTGCACCACCATATCAATTTATGTGGTGCTAGGAACAGAAACCCAGGGCTTAGGTGGCCCCAGAAACTTTACAAGACATGACTTTGAATTAAACAAACCATTTAAGATTCTTTATTTATAGCACACAGAAAACTTGTTTTGGAGCTTTAGTGTAAAGTTTGCTACTAGGCTTCTGCAGAATTAGGTGTCTCCTCCACTCTGCAGTGAAGGGATGTGTCCGTATTTAGGTTAGTGCTTTAGACTCCATAACCAGTGTTGTAGCCGACTCTGTACTAGAGGGGGCTGTGGCCTCAGGAAGTGAGGGGGAGAACATGTGGTTGTGTAAGAACCTGGAAGAAAAAGGAAATAGCGAAGGCACGTAAGTGAAGCACATAGCTGAAGCTATGAAAGATGAGGGTGGCGGTTCTTTACCTGGCTGAGGTGTTCCTATAGTTGGTACATAGACAACTGGAATAGTCTGTATCTTGTTCAGGAAGGCATTGTATGCTGGAAAGAGGAAATACCACAAAAAGCTTTATGTGATTTTGATTGCAGGAAGGCCTTGAAGATTAAAGTCCATTCAAAAATGAGATTTAAGGGGCGGCAAGATGATTCAGCCAGCAGACTCTTGACAAGCTTGTCTTAAGTCCCCAGAACCTACACAGTGGAAGGAGAGAACAGACTCCCTCAAGTTGTCTCTGACTTACACACTTGAGTCAGGGCATGATTGTGCTTCCTTCCTCAACCCAAGCAAATATGTAAGAAATAAATAAAATGAGATTTAAGTATTAGTATAAAAGTTTCCAGTTAGTCTGCCTTCCAAAAACACTGCCCTGTGTACTAATACTTGTAATTCCTTAACCAGTACAGTGCAACTATGACATTTGTAGCATATGCTGTAGGTATAAGATAATTCAAGTATATGTATAGATTTAAGATGTATAGATTAAATGGCAATGCTCTTGAATACTGGAAGTTTCAGTAATTGCTATGGGTCCTGGAACTGCCTCTCTGCAGTACTGAAGGGGAGATGCCGACAATACACATCTTAGAGGTATTTTTCTTTGCACTTTTGGCTAAAAGTGCATATGTAGGCAATAGTGCTATCTCTTTTGGTTTGATTTTTTTTTTTTTTAAGATGGTTTCTCTGTGTAACACAACCCTGACTGTCCTGGAGCTTGCTTTATAGACCAGGCTGCCTGCTTCTTCCCGAGTGCTGGGATTAAAGGTGTGGGCCATCATGCTCAGCAAGTTGACCTTTAGTAGACTAGGCTCACTCAGTGTTAACTATATGATTGGTTGTGAGAGTCAATAGTCTACCATGTAGACTCCTTACCTAGGAAGATGAAAGCAGTTGATGCCAGCACAGCAAAGAGGGTAAATAGGAGGATCTGGTAAGAACCAGCAACATTCTTGAAGACACCTGAATCTTCACAGTGATCTGCATTGCCATAATGGGATGAGATCATATGTTAATAACATTCAGAGGAGATGGTGGCTTTAATCCTAGTGCAGAGACAGCTGGATCTTTTGACTAGTTCAAGGCTACAAAGAAAACAGGGTCCCAGGGTACATGCCCACTTGGGATGATGAAGTAAGAAGACAGTGATATCTCAAATCCCATGCTGCCCTGCAAATGGAATTCAAAACCCAATTCTGGTGTGCCCATGGATATTAGAGGACTTTCTACCATTTTGCCAGCCTGCTGACTCGGTTTCTGACCCTTCTCTCTCACCTGTATGCATGCCATTTTGATCTTTGTCTCAACTGTTGATAATAAAATGTAGGGTTTGCCCCCACACTAAAAAGTTCTAGATGCCATATTGTGAAGAACGACCTTGCTGTCTTGATCCTTCTGTTGCCACCTTCAGTGCTGGGACTGTAGGCAATAGACCACTGTAGGCAATAGACCAATATGTCCAGTTCTCAGGGGTGCAAGCTAGGCAGTAAGCCCAGGGCTTCACACGCTTAGTTTGTACCACATGAATTATACACACTTAGCCAAAGCTTGTTTTCTTTTTCATTGGTTTTTCAGGTGGTTTCTCTGTAACAGCCCTCGTCCTGGCTTTGAACTCAGCTTCTTGCCTCTTCCCCTGCCACCATGCTTGTTTTTTTGTTAGCACATTTGGTCTATATTTGATTATTTCAGAGGCCCTCAGCTCTTAGCATATAATCGTACTCAAGCATGTTCTTTATCCCGGGTTGTTGAAGGTACCATTAGGTGGGGAGATAACTGAAGTAGTGTTTGGTCAAGCACGAGGAACAGGATTTCTCTGCCTACCTCTAGGCATGAGCTACCACTGTGCAGCTAAGAGCTGAGTTTTGTAGACACACAGGCCCATGTGGTTTTCTGTTAAATTCCAGTTGCACATGGCCCAGCCGTCCTAGCCTATACTTCCTTCCAGACAAATGAGAACAGTTGATGATTCCTGGGGTGGCACTGGAGGGTGACTGCTTCAGTCCACATTAGTGTGTGTGCCCTGCCATGAACAACAAACCACTGCAGCAATCTGACCATACCCTGCTATTTATGTAGATAGTTTCTGGATGGGGTCTAAGTAAGATTTGGACATAATGGTACTTGCAGCATTTGCCAGTGCCCACGTGTTATGACTATATTGTGACCTAACACTTGACTTATGCAGGTTTCCCACTCCCGACCCCCGACAGGGTTTCTCTGGAGACCAGGCTGGCCTGGAACTCAAGAGATACTTGCCTCCTTCCCAAGTGCATGGTGGGGATATGAGAAGTCCAACCTTCCTACAGCCCAATACCTGTTACTGTAAAAAGGTGATTGAGTGTAGACTAGGGATCTAGAGGCAGGCGGCCAACCTGGTCTACATAGCAAAATCTGGGCTGGACAAACTGTAAGCCAAAAGTGTGTGTGACGGGGGGGGGGGGGCCCCCCGCCAACCAAAAAATTATTCTTCCCCATGTAGATTAAAAGTAGTCCTCAGTGCTCACCTGAACCAGATAGGTCTTTGGCTCTGACCACCACGGCCTCATGCTGACTGGTGAGTGTGCAGGAAATGTTAATGAAAACCGGTGAGGACAACTGGAAGGCGGTGAAGTTGACTGCTCTTACTAGGTAGATAACCAGGCCTGTCGTGAGGGTAGAGTGCCTATGGCCAGAGACTGCTAGAAATGGGGAGCTGGAAAAGACCTTGGAGAAAAGAAAATACCACCTGTTTAGAAGAAGATAAGTCGGTGCTGTTTCAGTTAGTACAAGAATTTCCCGGTATCCAGCTGATAAATCACTAGCTTTTTCACCACTTTGGATGCAATGAGAAAGGAACAAGAGCTTGCTTTGCACTCATTTAAAAAGCTGGTCATAGATGGGCGGTGGTGGCTCAAGCCTTTAATCCTACCACTCAGGAGGCAGAGGCTTGCAGATCTCTTGTGTTCAAGGCCAGCCTGCTCTACTATGGAGCCAGTTCCAGGATCCACGTCAGGCTCCAAATCTATAGAGATCCTGTCTCCAGAAAACAAACAAGCAAACAAACAAAAAAAAAAACCCCAAAACCAAAACTGGTCATGGTTGTGCTGCATAGCTTTAATCCTAGCAGAGGCAGCCTGGTTTACACAGCCAGGGCACCAAGAAGCTCTATACTGAAGTAAAAGCTGGCTGTGTGTGCCTATGGCCACAGACAGGATGCCTAAGGCAGGCTCCAGTTCAATGAGGTCATCTCAAAAATCAAGGTGGCTATGTATTGAGTTCCAGGAGGCAGAAGGGTGTCAGAGTTTGAGGCCAACTACATAGCAAGCTCCAGGACTAAGACCTCTACCACCAAAAAGTGGGGGAGGGCTGTAGAGAAGGTTCCTGTGGTTAAGAGTCCCTGTTGTACAATCAGGAGGCCTGGCATTGGGATCCCAGCAACCCCGGCTGAGAGGTACAGGGATAGTTTATTTTCTGGGGCTCATTTTTAGCCTAGTCAAGGAAAGTCATCTTCAAAGAGTGGTGATGAACCTATGGGGTGGCTCAGGTAAAGTTGCCTATTGCCAAACTTGATGCCATGAGTTAGGGACTCATATGACAAAAAGAGAAAAAATGACCCTCCTAAGGTCTCTGACCTCCATATGTGCTGTGTGGCATGGATGTGTCTATATACAAGATAAATAAAAATGTGATTTAAAATGTGGAGAAAGAAAGACAGCTGGAGAGTGACAGTCGCCAGCCCTCTTCTGGCCTCCACACGTGCACGCACACTCTCATCTTGAGGAAAACAAGGTGCAGGTGGGCATGGTGGCACACTTGACTCACCGTGTGTACTCAAGGATGGGGGTAGGTAGGTAGGTGCATGTGTGAGGTCCAGGCCAGCCAGGGCTACATAATGATTTGTCTTCAAAGGTAGTGAGCTAGGAATGGGAGCACACACCTTTAATCCCAATACTTGGAAAGCAGAGGCAGGGTCATCTCCTGAGGCAGAGGCCAGCCTGGTCTAGAGCGAGTTCCAGGATAGACAAGGTTGCACAAAGAAACCCTGTCTTGAGAAACCAAAAATAAGAACATAAAAAACATGGTGAGCAATTGAGGGAGAATTCTGGCCTCCACACTGAGTGTACAAAAGAATAAAATAAATAAAATAAAATAAGCTAAAGGCTGACTTTGAGTGTGCTTTGAGGCGGGGGGGGGGGGGAGACTTGCCTCTCTTGAGTGCTAGGGTTGGAGACGTGACATGAGGTAGAGGGCCAGCAAGGAGTCAGAAGTCTCATTGTGTAGCTCAGGCTGGCCTGGAACTCCTAGCCTCTTCAATGCTGGAATTATAGGCTCACGACACCGTACCTGCCTTCAGTTTGTTTTGGCAGCATTTATTGGGTTGGAGAGGTAATTTAGCAGTTAAGAGCACTGACTGCTCTCCCAGAGGACCTGGGTTCAATTCCCAGCATCCAAATGGCAGCTCACAAATGTCTGTAAGTCCAGTTCCCGGGCTTTGACACCCTCAGCCACACATACAGGTAAAATACCAATGAACATAAATGTTAAAAAGTAAATAAAATTAACAATGGTCGACAAACTTGTATCCAGCCTTGTGAGGAGAGTTCATTTACCATAAGAGTCTCCAGTGGTTGGCTAGAGACCTGGCTTAAGAGGTTAAGAACATGTGATGCACACAGAGAGACATACATGGTTAAAAATAAAAATTTATCTCCAAGTATTTAAACTATTTTCCAGCGGTAACTTTAAAAGAAGGCATCAGGTTCCCTAGAGTTGGCGTTTCAGGGATTCTGAGCCCTTTGATGTGGGTTCCAGCAGCTAAACTCATCTGCGAGAACGACCTGTGTTCCTAACTGTTGAGCCATCTCTACAGCCCCCACAGTAACTTTAATTAGGCACAGTAACATTTTACTCTTGGAATGAGAATGAAAAGTCTTTTCAAACCCCTTGTCTTTCAGTCATGCATGGTAGTGCATGTCCAGTGGTCCCCAAGCTTGGAAGATAGGCGGTACACGGTTTCAAGGTAGCCTGGGTTACACTGTCTGAAAAGCAAAACTGAGGACTAGGGATATTCAGTTGGTAGAGTCCTTGTGCTTGCCACATGCACATGGTCCATGGTTGAGTTCTCATGACCACACAAACACTGGTTAGCGGTACACGTCTTAATTGTAGCACTTGGAAGGCAGGAGGCCAATCTTGAGTATACAGGGAGACTTCACTGCTAGCCTAATGAAAGTATGTTGGAAAAAAAGCACAACCTAGACACCCGTCCCCAGTACTGCTGTTACCTCTAGACTCTCAAGAACTCTTTCCACTCCAAGGACTCTGAGTTCTCCAATGTCTTTGTGGCTAATAACCAACTCTGACTGGTTCATGTAAAAACCAGGGATGAAAGGAATGAGGATTCTCTGCATTCCATTCTTGCTGCGTTCACTGACCAAAGTTGCCCACCCATATACCGAGGTGTCGGCCACACTTAGGGCTTGGCGCAGTTCCTCTGAATTCTGTCGAACCTTGATTAGGCAGACATAGACCCCTAAAAAAAGAAAGACAGCAGGAAGGCTGAGAGACTCTACTAAGATAACCAAGGTAAGGTAGAAGAACTTACCTTGTGAACTCAGTTCAGTTTAAGGGTACACTGTTGACCATTATGGGGAAAATACCAAGAAGGAAAACTGTCCTGAGGGAGCACAGCAGTGCTGGTCCCAGAAAGTCAGCACTCAGTGAATGGCCAAACAGCTAAAAAGTGCAGAGGAGGCCGAATGGAGGCAAAGCCTCGAGGACACCGCTTCCCTAGCTCCCCTTGGTTGCTGGTCCAGTGCCTTTCTATCTGAATTTTGTTCTGGAACTTTCTAAAGTGTACAGCTTTAGTGTGATGGAACCTTCCTTCAGTGCTTGTCCATTAGCCATGCCATTCAAGCTGCAAGGCCTCAATTCCGAGCTCAGATACTGTAGCATTAGCCTGCCTTTCCTTCCCTACTTCTCCCTCTCCCCTGCTTTCCTGCCCCCCACAGTTGTGTTCGCAGTATTTGAATTAGGCCTGCCACATGCCAGGTGATCTCTCCCACTGAGCATCCCCAGCCTTTTTACGTTCTAGTTTGAACACAGTTACACCAGACTTCCCAGATAAACTTGAATTTATTTTGTAGACTAGGCAGGCCTTGACTTTGTGATCCTCCTGCCTCAGTTCTTCCAAGTATTAGGATTACAGGTTTATGCCCTAAGGCCTAGCAGAATCCTCTCGCTTTATGTTCATTTATATCAAGTCATCTGAATGCTATACTGTTAATGACATTTGTTTGGAATACTCCGACACGGCGATGCATGCTGGAGATAAAGAATAGCCCAGGCGAGATGGCCCACGCCTCTAATCCCAGCACTCAGGCCAGCCTAGCCTGAGTGAGTTCCAGGCTATCCAGAGCTACACAGTGAGACACTGTCTCAAAACAAAACACAGTGAGACAATCTAACCTTTCCTAGAGCAGGAACAAAAAAGAAAAAGGTAACTTATGGGGGCACAGCGTGCAGTCCTAGCTCTCCATAGGTGGAGGCATCAGCTCAAGGTTGTTCTTGGTTGAGACCAGCCCGAAACAGAAAACAGCCCTTTGTTGGACAGTTGAGAAAGGCTCTAGAGGTAGAGGAAACGCAAATAAGCCGTCACCACCGGAGGGCGACAGTTGTAGAAATGGCAAAAGGAAGCTGCTGAGCCGCTGGATCCTACCTCTCTCCATGCTGAACTCGGAATGGATGTGGAAGACTTTACTTGCTGGGATGTCTAGTAAAGTGTTACTGAACTGCACGTGGCATAGCACGAGTGTCTCGGGAAGAAGAACATTTGCAACAGCGGAAGCCTGACTTGGGGTACAGGACCCTGAGAAGAAGAGAGTTAAATAACCGTTATCAACATAGGTTGTAGAAGGAGAAATTGTGGGGACTGGAGGGAGAACCCAGTGCTTAAGAGCATTTGTTCCTATAGAGGACTGTTGGGGAATAATGGTTTTTCTTCCTTTCTCCCTTCCTCCCTTCCTCCCTCCTTCCCTCTCTCCCTCTCTTTCTTTCTTTCCTCTTTCTTTGTTATGTTTTTGTTTTTCGAGACAAGGTTTCTCTGTAGCTTTGAAGCCTGTTCTGTAACCAGCTTTTGTAGACCAGGCTGGCCTCAAACTCATAGAGATCCACCTGCCTCTGCCTCCCAAGTGCTGGGATTAAAGGTGTGTGCCACCACTGCCGGACTTGTGGAATAATGTTTTTGTGCACTGTGAAGATATGTCACTCAGATTGGTTTAATAAAAAGTTTAACAGCCAATAGGTAGGCAGGATTTTCAGGGCAGAGAGGATGCTGGGAAGAAGGGCAGAGACTGGGATGTAACATAAACGTAACATGTAGGAGATGGGGTGTAAAAAGCCGTGAGACTCATGGCAGTACATAAATCAATAGAAATGCGTTAATTTAAATTCTAAGAGTTAGCTAAAAAACAAGCCTAAGTTATTGGCCAAGCTCCCATAATTAATAAAAAGTATCTGGCTTGTGATTTGGAAGCTGGCTGGCAGGACAGAGAAAGATTAGCTACAGAGGACCTGAGTTCAGTTCCCACTGTGGGCAGCTCACAGCCGTCTGTAACTCAAGTTCTAGGGTATTTGACACCCTTGTATGGTCTTTAAGGAAACCTGAACACAAGGTAGTCACACAGATATGAATAAAAATCTTTTAAAAAGAAACCTAACATGACATCAGTGCCAGAGATGTGTCTGCTTCTGCCCCCTAAGTGCTAGGATTAAAGGCGTGTACCACACCGCCTGACTATAAAAATCTAAACCTTAATCCAGTCATAATTTTTGAAATCTCATTGATTTCAGTTTCTGTGCCAGGGTGGAGTTAAGGACTAGAGCAGTGGTTCTCAATCTTCCCAGTGCTGCAGCCCTTTAAGTACAGGTCCTCATGTGGTGAGCCCCCATCCTAAAATTATTTTTGTTGCTACTTCATAACTGTAATTCTGCTACTGTTGTAGCAATTGTACTACAATTTTACTACAATTTTACAATTGTACTACAATTGTTGTACTGTTGTAGCAATTGTAGAATCAATTGTAGTGTAGATTATCTGTGTTTTCCTCTGCTCTCAGGTGACCCCAAGGAGGTCCAGCTCCCAGGCTGAGAACCACTGGGTTAGAGAGATGGCTCAACATAAGCTATTGCTCTTCTAGAGGACCAAGTTTAGTTCCAAGCACCCATGTCAGGTGTCTGGCCACCAAGGGCACCTGCACCCATGTGCATATCCCCATATACCTACACATAATTAAAAATAATAAAAACCTTTATAAAAATTGGAGTCAATTTTGAAGTAAAAATGGATTCTTTTGTTGTCTTTTTTTTTTTTTTTTGAGACAGGCTTCCTCTGTGTAACACTCCTAGCTGTCCTGAAACTAGTTCTTGTAGACCAGGCTGGCCTCAAACTCACAGAGATTCCCCTGCCTTCCTGCTTCTGCTTCCTGAGTGCTGGGATTAAAGGTGTGCGCCACCACCACCCAGCTGTTGTTTTAGTTTTTTGAGAGAATAGTGTGTCCTTGAACATGCTTCAAAGGTTGTATCTTAGCTTTTCACATGTTAGCATTATAGGTAGGTGCTACTATGCACAGTCAATGAAAAATATTAATCTAAAGGAGTAAAATAACTGAGGGACACAGAGGAAGATGGACATAATCAGGAGACCTGCAGAGAGGTTCCTTACCTTTAAGGTTGACATCATTTCTGCCGGTGCTGATGAAGAGTTTGAACACAGTTGCGTTGGGGGTATTTGTGAGGTAAGTCTTGAGGTCATAGTTGAATGTTAATCTTGACGAAGCATTGACTACCACCTGTCAGCAAACCAAAAGGAGAGCTGGTTCCCTCCATCCTTACCCCCAATAACTTATTTCAACCAAGAGTATCTATTTCATATAACTACAAATTGGCATTCTGATTATTTGAGAAACAAACAAACAAAAAAATTGCATAGGCAGACTTTTCTTTCCTGTTCACCAGTTCCCAAATTACCAATATGTGGGCGGTGGTGGTGCACTCCTTTAACCCTAGCACTGGGAGGCAGAGGCAGGAGGATCTCTGTGAGTTCGAGGCCAGCCTGGTCTACAGGAGCTAGTTCCAGGACAGGCTCTAAAACTAAAGTGAAACCCTGTCTCAAAAAACCAACCAACCAACCAACCAACTAACCAAACAACCAACCAAACAAAAACCCCCAAATAACCAATATGGAGACTTAATATTAATTATAGATATTTGGCTGATAGCCAGGCTTATTACTAACTAGCCCTTACAACTTAAATTAACCCATTTTTATTAATATCTGTGCTGTCACATGGCTCATGGCTTATTACCTCATTTTATACATGTCTTGCTTCCTTTCCATCTGGCAGGTGACCCTGACTCTGCCCTTCTTTTTCACAGCATCCTTCTAGTCTGTTTCTCCTGCCCAATCGCTTCCTGCCCAGCTATATGTCAGTTAGCTCTTTATAACCAATGAGAGTAGTACATATTTACAGTGTACAAAGATTGTTCCACAGCATTTCCCCCTTTTGCTTAATTAAAAAAGATTGTAACTTCAACATAGTAAAATTATATAAAAACAGTTATTAATTAGAAAAAAATGTGGAATATTTTAAAAAAATTTTGGAATATTTCTTACATTATATGAATATATGTCGTTGTGATTGGTTTAATAAAGAAGCCGACTGACCAGTTGCTGAATGGGTGGTATTAAGCAGGAGAACCACACTGAGAATGCTGGCAGAGGAGTGGTGAGTAGACCCAGAACAAAGCAAGATGGGCATGCCATAATGAGAAAAGGTATTAAAGTCACATGGCAAAGCATAGGTAAGAAATATGGGTTAATTTAAATGTAAGAGTTAGCTATTCATTAGCCTGAGTTATTGGCCAACCAGTTATAATTAATATTAAGTCTCTGTGTGGTTACTTAGGAGCTGTTTGTGGGACAGAAGCTTCTGTCTACAAATTCATTTACTTGTGAAATGACTTTTAAATTTTTTAAAAAAGATTTATTTATTTATTATGTATACAACTTTCTGCCTCTACGTATGCCCACACGCCAGAGGAGGGTTCCAGATCTCATTACAGATGGTTGTGAGCCACCATGTGGTTGCTGGGAATTGAACTTAGGATCTCTGGAAGAGCAGATTTTTTTTTTTTTAATTTTGAGACAGGGTCTTGGATATAAAAAGACTAGCCAGAATCTCTTCATAGCTTAAGATGACCTTGAATTTCTGATCTTCCAGCCTCCACCTCCACATCTCCAGTGCTGAGATTAAAGACACACCTGGTTTATGTGGTGGGAATTGAACCCAGGAATTCATGCATGTTATAAAGTGTACTTCCGGCCTAGCATGTTTCTGCATGTATAACCTATAAGTGAAACCATGCTGGTCCTTTCAGCTGCGGTGCACTTAGCTGTACCTCTCGAAATGTCTTCACAACTCCAGGGATGTCATGAAAGATGGTTGCAGTTCCTGGGCTCCTAGCCACTCCCACTCCAGTGGCTGTGTCTGTCTGTATAACATTGTTGGGAGAAATCATCCACAGCCCAGGCTCACCTGAGAAAAGACAAGAACGTGCCTGGCTGCAATTTTCTATATAAATTAATAAATTACTTCATTCAAAGTCTCAATCAGTAGGCACTCATGACCACTCTTTATCAAGAATGTAAGCAGCTTTCCTGACTGTCTGTTTTACCTGACACCTACCAGATTTCTGATCCTAACGTAGCCCTTCTGCTTCCTCATCTTTACTAGTATGCACTTGGTTGACTCTCAAAATTCCAAAATGCAAAACTGAAGGATGGGCCTGGCACAAACCCAACTAAAAAGCCTTACCTCTGCAGCCTGCAAGCCAGCACGCAAAGGCACTTGCTGTGAAGCCAGACAGCCTGAGCTAATCTCCAGGACCCACATGGTGGGAGAGAAGACTGGTATCTGACCTTCATATGTGTATCATGAAATGTGTGCCCCATGCCCTTCATACGTGTATCATGACGCGTGCCCCATGTTCTTCATATATGTATCATGACATGTGTGCCCCATGACCTTCATATGTGTATAATGACATGTGTGCCCCCGTGTCCTTCATATGTGTATCATGCCATGTGTGCCCCCATGCCCTTCATATGCATATCATGACATGTGTGCCCCCATGCCCCTTTTTTAAACATTTGGATTTTCGAGACAGGGTTTCTCTGTAGCTTTGGAGCCTGTCCTGGAACTAGCTCTTGTAGACCAGGTTGACCTCGAACTCACAGAGATCCACCTGCCTCTGCCTCCCGAGTGCTGGGATTAAAGGCGTGCGCCATCACTGCCCAGCTCCCCATGCCCTTCACATGTGTATCATGACATATGTGCTCCATGTCCTTCATATGTGTATCATGACATGTGTGTCCCCATGACCAGAAATGCTTAAAGATAAAGTTTGCTTCATCCAAGAGGTTTCTAACTGTGGAAGTATAACTTTCATTACTGGCTTTGAAGCCAGCTTAGCTCACAGACCTTAGAGTATACATTGGTCATCGCAAGTCAGCTCCAAGACTGATTAGAACTGCCTTTGTAGCCACCTTTAATCCCAGCACTTGAGAGGCACAGGTGGATCTCAATGAGTCTGACCCCAGCCTGGTCTACAGAGAGAGTTCCAGGATAGCCAGAGCTGTTACACAGAGAAACCCTGTCTCAAAAAAACAAAACAAAACAAAAAAAACCCCAAAAAGATAACTACCTTTGTAACAGCTATAAACCATGTAGTGTGTGTTAGGATTAGTTCCAGTGTCGTCACGTAACTCAGCACGTAACCATAGTTCCCAGAAAAGAGACAAAAGTCCTTCATAGCCCTAGACCCTCCTCCCCCAATGAGTTAGTCATATGTGAATGGTTTCAGGATGCAGAAATTCTTCCCTGGGAAGACAGATACTTCCTTATAGGCTACCAGTGACAAACCAAATCAAAGTCCAACTTGGGAAACTATTAAGTTTATTGGGCTTTATTATAGAGCACAGTTAAGGGGTTACAGGAGTATGGGTGAACCCAAAGCTACCACACTACTGGTAAGTCTCACCCCACCATAACTGCACAGATGGAGTCCCTCCTTCAGTTAGACTTACACACCATGTCTGTGCTCTAGCACCTCCCAAGACTAGGGGGTTGTATGCAATTAGAACAGAAGCACATGTAGCTAACTGAGAGGCACAAAAGGCTGAGAGGGTCCTGCGATCCTCTCCATCCTTCCTTCTACGAGGCGACACCAGCAATGAGCAGGCCTGATCTCGGGGTCTACTAGTGGTCCCATGCCCTGATGCGCATGACAGCTGTATATGGAGAACAGTGCTCCACACAGATGACTAGTAGCAATACATGTATCCCATTGGGACATATTTCCTGTAAAGTCAAAGAATTCACATTTTCTTGCCAAGGATAAATTTACTTTTTATTTTTGAGTGCTAGGGTTTCAAACTAAGAACATTTTTCTATCATTTTAATTGAATTTAATAGAACTTTTTCTAACAGAATTGTTTTCTTGATCAGAATAGCTTAGGTCTGGCAAAATGGCTGGGCTCAAATGGTACAAGGGCTTGTGTGCAAGCCTGGTGATCTGAGTTTGATCCCCTGAATCCTCAGAGGAAGGAGAGAACCAATTCCATAAAGCTGTCCTCTGACCTTCACACGTGTGCCACGGCACATGCACCACACACGTCACACACGTGCGCGCGCACATACACACACACACACCCCACAGACTGACACATTAATCTACTGGACATTAGATTAGGCCTTGGCTGCTGCCTCAGAGAACAGCGTATTAATACTTGTGTCCAGAACTGAAGCCTCATTGCATTTTGTTCTTTCTTGTATTTCATCTACATTTATAAGTTTAAATTTTAAATATTTTTATATGTTCTGCCTATATGCACACATGTACCCTACATGTGTGCCTGCAGCTGTGGAGGTACGAAGAGGGAGTACACAGATGGCTGTGAGCCACCATGTGTATGGTGGGCATCGAACCCAGGTCCTCTCAGGAAGAAGTGCCCTCACCATGGAAGCATCTCTCTGGTCCAACTTTTATTATTCTTCACCTAGCAGTTAGTTACCTTCCTTCAAAGGCTGAGATGACAGTGCTCCAGATTATGTCCATTATAGAACACAAAGTTGTCTTCAGTAGGCAGATGATAAGTGATACAAGTCAACTTCTAATTGGCTATCAGTAGGCAGATGATAAGTGATACAAGTCAACTTCTAATTGGCTATTGAGAAAATGGTCATCCAGTTGGGAATTATCAGCTAACATAACAATCACTTTGGGGCCATCAAGATGGCTTAGCAGGCAAGGGGTCCTGCTACTAAGTCTGATGACCTGAGTTCAATCCCTAGGGCCCCACTGGTAAAAGATGAGAACTAACTCATCCACGTTCTTTGTTCCCACACACAAATAAATAAAATGTCATAAGAAATCAAAAATAAGCAAGGCAGTGGTGGTGCACGCCTTTAATTTCAGCACTTGGGAGACCGAGACAGGCAGATCTCTGTGAGTTCAAGGCCAGCCTGGTCTACAAAGTGAATAGGACAAGCTCCAAAGACACAGAGAAAACCTGCCTTGAAAAACCAAAAAAAGAAAAAAAAAAGAATCAAAATAAAATAAATGATTTTTTGGGGGTGGGGGTAAGGGTCTTACTATGTAGCCCTGCATAACCTGGTACTGGTTATAAGATGAGACTAGTTGGGTGGTGGTGGCGCACATCTTTAATCCCAACACTTGGGAGGCAGAGGCAGGTGGATCTTTGTGAGTTCGAGGCCAGCCTGGTCTATGAGAGCTAGTTCCAGGACAGGCTCCAAAGCTACAGAGAAACCTTGTCTTGAAAAACAAACAAACAACAACAACAACAACAACAAATCAGGCTACCCTCAAACTCACAAAGATCCGCCTTCCTCTGCCTCCCCAGTGCTGGGATATGTCTTTTGTGTGGTTAAGAAGAGGCGCACCTACCATGCTGATTGACGAGGTGAGTGCTGAAGCAGATGACATCGCCAACAAAGGTAAGATTGGTGTCTGGCTCAATGGCATGTTCTACAGCAACAGGAATATAATCCGCCATGCCAGGATGCCGCTGGTCCCAGAGCCCCACAACCGTCACCCCTCTGTTCACAGCCTGGGCCATGTATGTATAGTTTCTGTTTCCTGGTCCAATAAGCAGCAAGTCATCTCTAAGAATGACACAAAAGGCAGGAGTGTCTGAAAAGGACAGCTGAGCATGTAACTCGGTGGTGGGTTGTTTAGCCGGCATGCAGAAGGCCCTGGCTGCCAGTGAAAAGTCTCACTCCTGTGTGCCCAGCGTCCATGCTGCCAAGTTCTAAGCCAGTTTGGGCTACATAGTGAGTACTAGGCTAGCCAGAGCAACAAACAGACAAACAATATCTGTAATATCTGTAAAGAGATACTACAATGAGCTGGGCAGTGGTGACACATGTCTTTAATCCCAGCACTCGGGAGGCTGAGGCAGGTGGATTTCCGAGTTCGAGGCTTACAGAGCAAGTTCTAGGACAGGCTCCAAAGCTACAGAGAAATCCTGTCTCAGAGAGAGAGAGAGAGAGACACAGACAGACAGACAGAGAAAGAGAGAGAGAGAGAGAAGAGAGAGAGAGAGAACATTGGAAAACATTGAGGGAAGAGACCCAATCACGAATTTGTTTAAAGTTTCTAATTCTTGGGGCCTGAGAGATGGCTCAGAGGTTAAGAGTACTGACTGCTCTTCCAGAGGTCCTGAGTTCAATTCCCAGCACCCACATGGTGTAGAATGAGATCTGGTGCCCTCTTCTGGCATTCAGGCATACATGCAGACAGAGCACCGTATTCACAATAAACAAATCATTAAAATTTTTTAAAAATTTCTTCGTGCGTGATGGGCACACATGTGCCACAGCACATGCGTGGCAGCTGGAGGACAGCTTTTGAAGGATCAGTTCTGTCCTTGATCTATGATTTGGGACCATCAGGACTCAGGTCATCAGGTTTGGCAGCCAGTGCCTGCTGAGTCACCTCCCTGGCCCTGTTTCCTGAGGATTTTTTTTCCTCATGAAATCCAGGCTTTCCATGCTCCTGTATGTAGCTCAGGATGACTTTAGATTTCTGATCCTCCTGCCTCTACCTCTCCATGCCTAGTTCTTTATGTTGTTTGGTTTTTCTTGAGAGTTTTATTATGTGACCCAGTCTGGTCTCAATCCTTCGGTTTTAACCTTCTAAATGAGAAAGGGTTCTCTGTAGCTTTTGAACCTGTCTTAGAACTCTCTCTGTAGACCAGGCTGGCCCAGAACTCAAAGAGATCTGCCTGTTTACCTCCTGAGTGCTGGCATTAAGGGATTGTGCCACCACTGCCCAGCAGAAACTTCCTTAATTACCAGTTTTCTTTTGATTTTGAGACAGGTTCTTACTATGCAGCCCTAGGAAGCCCAGGTCTTGCTGTGTAGGACAGGCTGACCTCGTATTCACATAGACCCACCTGTTGTCTCTGCCTCCTGAGTGCTGGGATCAAAGGAGTGTACTACTAAGCCTGACTGACAATATTTTCTTATAAACATTGTTATATTTCACCAGGCAGGAGGCAGAGGCAGGTGGATTTCTGTGAATTTGAGTACAGTTTGATCTACAAAGTGAGTTTCAGGACAGCCAGGGCTACACAGAGAAACCTTGTCTTGAAAAACAAACAAAGAAAAATTTGTTTTATTTGTGTGTATATACCCTCAGAGACCCCAAAGGGCGTTGGATTTCTTAGAACTGGACTTTCTCAACGTGGATACTGGGAACTGAACTCAGCTTTCCGCATGTGCTATCAGCACGCTGAACTGCTGACCCATCTCTCTAGCCCACTTCGTTTTGGAAAGGGTTTCAGTTTGTTGTTCCTTGATCTTATGACAGTTCTCCTAGGTCAATTTTCTAAGGACTGTGATTATAGGTACCAAGCCCAGGTCTGGCTGTGTGTGTGTGTGTGTGTGTGTGTGTGTGAGAGAGAGAGAGAGAGAGAGAGAGAGAAAGAGAGAGGGAGGGAGAGGAAGAGAGAGAGGGAGGGGGAGAGAGAGAAAGAGAGAGGGAAAAAGGGAGTATGTGTGCATGTGAGTGTGTATGTGTTGCTGAGGATCAAACCAAGTGCTCTGCACATGTTAGGTGTGTTCTATCTCTTAGCTATGTCCCTGGTCATCCCTCAGCCCCTCTGCCTTAAAACAGGGTCACACTCTAGCCCACACTAGCCTGGAACTCTCTGCTATGATGAAGCCCAGGCTGGCTTTGCATCTGAGATGTTTCCCATTTTACATTCCTTATTAGAGGGATGTATCACCACACATGGGCACATGGCTCATGCTTTAATTTTGAGTAAAAAAATAGAGACCAGATTCCAAGTTCCCAGTGAAGAGACGCCCGCTGAACCTGCTGTCAGACACGCCCTTAACTGAAGGCTTCCAACATGGCCTAACACCCCTCACCTCCATACCTGTTCAGAGCCATATAAAGTCGAGTATTGTGGGTGTGGAATTTCTCTCCAATGTTATTATAAAACTCAACAATAAAGGTGAGAGACATGCCCAAGGGAAAGGCTGATAGGGTTCTTCCTTGGCCTGTGTACAGCTTGGGGTAGCTGCTCATTCGAAGGTACGTCACTGGTGCTACCTGCGGGAGACAAAACCCACTGGTCCAGGGACTGCAGCTCTGGAGAAGGGCTGCTGTCACACCTACAACCTGTAGTCAAGGTCACAAGCCATGCACGCGCGTGTGTGTGTGTGTGTGTGTGTGTGTGTGGCAGTGTGTGGTTGTGTGTGTGTGTCAGTGTGTGTCAGTGTGGATGTGTGTGTCTGTGTGTGTGTGTGGCAGTGTGTGGCAGTGTGTGGATGTGTGTGTGTGGCAGTGTGTAGGTGTGTGTGAGACAGTGTGTGATGTGTGTGTGGCAGTGTGTGGATGTGTCTGTGTGTGTGTGTGAGCAGAGCTCGGCTGTCAGGTCTTTCGATCTTGACCAGGCCTCCTCACTGCTGTGTGAGTCAGGCCAGCCGGCCTTTCTCCCGTCTCTGCCTCCCATTTCTTGTTGTCCACTGGAATTACACATGCTTGCACTCTGCCTCTTCTGTGGGTTACGGGGATCTGAATTCAGGCTTGTACCCGTGCCCCATTCCTTTACAGGAAAGAGATTTGGACTTGACACGCTTGTGTCGAAGGCTACGATGGCGCAGGCAATGGTTACTTCATTATCCAAACTGTCACTACATGATTATCAGGAGTACGACCCGTTTTCCCTGTGGTGTGAAGGCTACACTACAGTAAGAAACACAATCTGATCCCAGTTTGTCACTTCATAGCGTTGTGTAGCTCCGGATCTCAGCTTCTTTCTCAATTATATGCACCCTGTACAGTTCTTAAAGTAGTAAGAAGAGGAATGCACACAGCAGGACAATATATGGGCTGGAATATAGTATATATCTAATGTCTAAAAGATTCTTGTTAGAATAACATGCCTCTGAGGCCTTTTCTACATTTAATCTTAGCTGAACGGCCAAGAAGCATTCTGAGACCTCTTTCCACCCTAAAATGTTTAATTGTATACAAAGTCAGACATTTTCTTTTTTTTTAATTTATTTATTATGCATATAGTGTTCTGGGCACCAGATCTCATTATAGAAGTGTGTGAGCCATCATGTGGCTGCTGGGAATTGAACTCAGGACCTCCAGAACAGCAGTCGGTTCTCTTAACCTCTGAGACATCTCTCCAGCCCCAGAAATTTTCTTCTTTGAGACACAGTCTCACTCTGTAGCCCCTGCTGGCCTTGAACTTTGAAGTCACCCCCACACCCCGCTTCAAAAGCAGACTCTGGTAGAAGCAGTTCTGTGCTTTGCTCTTGCCGCTCCTGGGAAGACAGCCACACTAATGGGGGGCTGATCCCTCTCTTCAGGGCAGTACCGTCTCAGGAGGACAGGGCCTTTTACCTACTTTGTTTACTTATTTATTTACTGGTAGGGTTTTTAAGGATGGTAGGCAGACACTCTACTCCTGGGCTACGTCATAGAACCCATTATTTTATTGGTTCCGTCCCGGACTCACCTGGACTCCAGTTATGGTTGTTTGATTGACTCCAAAAGGTTCTATAGAAGTGACTTCTAACACTGCAGTGCCCGCAATGGACCCAGATCTCAGGAGCCCTTGGCTATCTTCTTCAATTACTGAGGAATTCGGGAAACACTTGAGAACACGGGAACTCACAAAGGCTGCGCCTTCTCTAGGAGACAAACAGAACAAGTGGGCACACTCTCGGGCTGTCCGCCAGGAGGAAGCAGGTGAGGACCGACAAGGCTAAGAGGAGTGCTGGCTCACTGCACTTCCGGCACTGGTAGCTGGGAAAGAGGATTGTTATGAGTTTGCAACCAGCCTAGTCCACAGAGCTTGGCTCTACATGGAAACTCTGTCTTAGAAAACTAAAACTTTAAATCAGACAGACATTTTGGAGGACTACGATTGGAGTCTGTGCTCTGGCACTGTGTGCATTCTCTACGTTGGATGTTCCTCAGGAAAAGGCAGCCATAGCTAAGGCTTAGGCTTCCCAGCTTTTCCCTTCCTCCCTCACTTCACCACCCTCTCCTCTTCTTCCCTTTCTCCTTTTCTTCCTTGTTTTTATTCTTTTTTGTTTTTGTTTTCAAGACAGGGTTTCTCTGTAGCTTTGGAGCCTGTCCTGGAGCTAGCTCTTGTAAACTAGGCTGGCCTCGAACTCACAAGAGATTCGCCTGCCTCTGCCTCCCAAGTGCTGGGATTAACGCTGTGCGTCACCCCGCCCAACTTCTGTTTTTAAAAATTTTACATCTTAAACCTTATTATAAAAACTGAGGGGGGCTGGAGAGATGACTCAGTGGTTAAGAGCATTGCCTGCTCTTCCAAAGGTCCTGAGTTCAATTCCTGGCAACCACATGGTGGCTCACAACCATCTGTAATGAGGTCTGGTGCCCTCTTCTGGCCTTCAGACATACACACAGACAGAATATAGTATACATAATAAATAAATAAATAAATAAAAAATAAAAAAAAACCCTGAGAAACTGGGAGTGGAGGCACATGACTTTAATCCCAGCACTTGGAAGGCAGAGACAGACGGATCTCTGTGAGTTTGAGGCCAGCCTGATCTACAGAACAAGTTCCAAGACAGGCTCCAAAGTTACACAGAAAAACCCTGTCTCCAACAAGAACAACAACAAAACAAAACAAAACAAACCCAAACAAACAAAAAAACAAAACAAAACTTCCTAAGTAGCCAAGGATGATCTTGAATTCCCGACCTTCCTGTTTTATTTTAGGTTTCTGTTACTGTGAGGCGACACCTTGACCAGAAGCAATGTGGGGAGGAAAATGTTTATTTGGCTTACATTTTCAGCAAGAGTCCACCATTGAGGGAAGGCAGGGAAGGAACTCAAGCGGGGCAGGAACCTGGAGGAAGGAGCTAATGCAGAGAGGCCATGTAGGGGGGCTGCTTACTAGCTTGTTCCTCATGGCTTGCTCAGCCTGCTTTCTTAAAGAACCCAGGGCCACCATCCTAGGGATGGCATTACACACAATGGGCTGGGCCCTCCTACATTAATCATGAAATAAGAAATGTCCTACAGGATTGCCTACAGCCTGATTGCATAGAGGCATTTCTCAACTGAGGTTCTTTCCTCTCAGATGACTCTAGCTTGGGTCAAGTTTCCATATAATTAGCCATCACATGTCTCTACCTCCCTACATGCTGGGACAACAGGCATAAACCACTAACCCCAGGCCTATGCTTTTCTCTTTAAAAAACAAATCCTGTTGTATATTAGAAAATTCTTTGAACAAAATAACTGAAAACAGATATTCAAACAAATACTCATATATGAATGTCTACAGCATCAATATTCACAATAGTCAAAAAGCAAAAAATACATGAGGTGTGGTGGTGTACACCTAGGGAGCTGGGGAAGGGGACCAAGATGTTGAGACCCTCTCCCAAACACATACGTGGAAAGTCAGGCATGGCTGCACACACCTGTACTCCTAGCACTGAGGAGGTAGAAACAGGAACAGCAGGAGGCCATGGTCACCCTCATAAGGAGTTGAGGTTAGTTTTGGGCTAGTGAAATAGCAAATTGGGTAAAAGTATTTGTCACAAAAGCCCACCTTGAGGTTGATCCTAGGATCCCATAAGCACAAGAGAACTGAAGGTTGGACTCTGTCCTCCACATGCTACCACAGCGTGTGCCTGGACACGGACACACACACACTCATTCACTCACACACACATATACATGCAATAGTAAGTGAGTCTTTTGGTTATTTTTATGTTGTATACATTATTTCATCTTTGAAAAACTATTCAGATTAGAAAAATCACTTGAGAATAGACGGTAGCTGCTGTGGGATGATGTTCTTGTGTACTGTAAAGATCTGTCACTTGTACTGGTTTATTAAAACACTGATGGGCCAGTAGCCAGGCAGTGAGTATAGGCAGAGCAACCAGACTAAGAGAATTCTGGGAAGAGGAAAGGCAGAGAGTCAGTCACCAGTCAGATGCAGAGGAAGCAAGATGAGAATGTCTTACTGAGAAAAGGTACCAAGTCATGTGGCTCAACATAAGCAAGAATTATGGGTGAATTTAAGTTGTAAGAGCTAGTTAGTAATAAGCCTGAGCTAATAGGCCCAACAGTTTAAATTAATATAAGTCTGTGTGTTTATTTGGGACTGAATGGCTGCAGGACTGGGTGGGACAGAAACTTCTGTCTACAAATGGCATGTGTCACCACTGCCTGGTCTCTAAGGCTGACTGACCAGGGCAGCTGTTTTACTCACTGATCTTCAGGCAAGCTTTATTTATTAAAACACAAATGAAATATCACTATAGGTAGCTCTTTCCATATGCAATTTGAATTTTCAAAATGTTTTTAAAATTATTATTAATGTGTGTGTGCAGGTGTGCACTTGTCTCCTTGCAGAGATGGGGCCTCTTGTTTTTGTTGCTGCACTTCCTACTTCAAGCCAGATGGCCCACATCCTGCTTTTTCCCTTGGTTCTGGGATTGAACTCAGGTCATCGGGCTTGTGCCCTAAGCATCTTTATAAACTGAATATCTTGCTATCTTGCCAGCTCTTTTTTTAATTAATTGATTAATTAATTATGTACACAATATTCTGTCTGTGTGTATGTCTGCAGGCCAGAAAAGGGCACCAGACCTCATTATAGATGGTTGTGAGCCACCATGTGGTTGCTGGGAATTGAACTCAGGACCTTTGGAAGAGCAGGCAGTGCTCTTAACCACTGAGCCATCTCTTCAGCCCCTCTTGCCAGCTCTTAAGCTTCATTTATCAGAGTGTGTGTGTGTGTGTGTGTGTGTGTGTATGTGTGTCAGAGAGAGACAGAGACAGAGACAGAGAGACAGAGAGAGAGGCAGAGACAAGAGTAAGAGGGAGAGACAGAGAGAGACACGATGTTCGGACAGAGGAGGTCAGAGGACAGTTTTGTAGTTTGTATTCCAGTGGCCTGCAGGGCAGTGTCCAGATGAGCGGCCCCTCCAGCATCCTGCCCCCGTGTGTGACATCTTGCTGGGGTTCCCTCACGGCAGAACCCACTCTTCTTCCTTACCTGTTGGTGTGGAGCCTGAGCTGAGAATTCATGGGCATCAGAATCTGCTCAGGTTGGCAGTCTGCATAGAAGAGCTGGAGTTTTTCAAACACCTATAGGGAGAAAATGACTTTCCCTCATTTCAGAAGACAAGTTATAGTACTTATTTACATATGGATGGATTTCAGGACAATGCAATGGGAACCGTGTGCTGAACATGCAGTAACTAGGAGGCAACAGTCTGCCTGATTTCTAATAAATCTAAACAGCCTTCCATACCCCTCCCTAAAACAAGTCAGGTGCATGCTACATATGTGGTAGTTTAGGGTATACAATCTAAACCTGGGCTCATGACACACACCTTTAATCCCAGCCCTCAGGGGACAGAGGCATGTGCAGAGTCTGGGACTTTGAGGCCAGCCTGATCTATTTAGGGAGTTCCAGAACACCCAGGACTACATAGAGAGATCCGGTCTCCAAAAAAAAATTATTAAAATTGATATTATTATATATTATATATTATTAAAAATAATATATTATTTAAAATATATTTTCACAGCTCTATTCCTGAAGTACTGGTCATGTGGCAAACCCCACTGGCTACAGTCTCTGTGGTAGATTAAAGTTACTAGAGACCCAGTTTTAGCTCTGCTCACTGAACTGAGGTCTGGGAGCAAAGACTCTGATACTAAGTCAGGAGAGGCACCATTCAGTGTTAGGAATATCATGTTAAGGCGTGTTTAATATCATGTTAAACTGCATTTGTTTAGCTGTGAAGCTGTGTTACTGTGCCTGTCTAAAACACCTGAGGGTCTAATAAAGAGCTGAACCGCCAATAGTGAGGCAGGAGCAAACGTAAGGGAAAGGAATAGGAGAAGGGAGAAAGGAGTAGGCAGGACTGGCAGGCAGAGAGCAGAAATCTGGACGGGGGGTCTGAGGATCTAGGAATGAGAGAGGAAGGAGGAAGATCTTCAGGGGTTAGCCGCCCAGCTGTCCAGCGGCCCAGCTACACAACCAGACATGGAGTAAGAGGAAAGGAAAGGTATACAGGAAAAGAGAAAGATAAATGCCCTGAGACCAAAGATAGATGGGATATATTAAATTAAGAAAAGATAGCAAAAAACAAGCCAAGTTAAGGCCGGGTACTCACAACTAAGAATAAGCCTCCATGTGTGATTTATTTGGGAGCTGGGTGGTGGGCCCCCCAAAAGCCAGAGTGAAAGAGCAAAACCACCACACTACAATCCAGCTCTGCTGCTTCCTACTGAAGGGTCCTTTCCTTGTCTCTATACCGAGTCACAGAACCAAGGACAAAATAAAGGGGAAGACTGTCTTTTACTTATTTACCCACTAATTGGACTTTTTAAAAACTTTTCCTTCTTAGGGTTGTTTACGCTTACTGTGTGTGTGTGCGAGACACATGGGCACATGCTTGCGTGTGCGAGACACATGACCACATGTTTGCACATGCGAGACACATGGACACACGCTTGTATGTGTGAGACACAGGGGCACATGCTTGCGTGTGTGAGACACATGGGCACATGCTTGTGTGTGTGAGACACATGGGCACATGCTTGCGTGTGCCACTGTATTTGTGTGGTCAGAGGAAAACAGTTGTTTTTTTTTTTTAAATTTAAGCGAGAGGAGAGCTTTCTAAAGTTGGCAGAGCTGGAGTAGTATGTCTCTCCTCTCTGCCACTGTACGCGCCAGCCCACGGCCTGTGGGATCCTAGGATTAGAGGCGTGCACCACCATCTCTGTCTCTTTCAGGTAGGCTCTAGGAATTAAATTCAGGTTCCCAGGCTTCTGCAGCGAGCACTTCACCTTCTGCGCCATCTCTGTGGCCCCCACTCGGTTTTTCTTCTGGAATATGTGATAAGGCGAGCACACTTAGAGCTGCAGACCGGAGCTGTTGCCAGCAACAGCTTCTGGATTGACAGATGCGGGACCTAGGTGGGTGCTTACCAGGATTTGGATCTCGTCAGACAGTTCCAGCACACTCCCCTCAAACTGCCCAAAGGAGTTGCTCTCACTGCGGACCGTGACCTTGATCGTTGTTCTGCCAGCCGCTTTTGTGTGAACAATCATGGCAAAGTTGTTCTCTGCTGGAAGCTGCAGAGACACCTGGACAGTAAAGGGATGCACTGAAAATGACTGCTTAACTTTTATTTTATGTCCATTGGTGTGAAGGTGCCAGATGCCCTGGAACTGGAGCTACAAACAGTTGTGAGCGCCAGGTGGGTGCTGGGAACTGAACCTGGGTCCTCTGGAAGAGCAGCCAGTGCTCTTTACCACTGAGCCATCTCTCCAGCCCCTTTTCTGTCTTTTTCAGGCTTCAGTGTGAGAGGTCTGATGGAACAGGCATGAAAACCATTTTCAAAAACTTATAAGTCTTGTTCTTCTTATTAATTTTGAGACAAGGTATCACAGTATAGTCTTGGAAGGTGTGAAATTTGTGTAGAGCAAGTAGACTAGAACTCAGAGACCTGCCTGACTCTGCCTCCCAAAGAGTTCTGGGATCAAAGAGTGCATCATTATGCCCAGTTTAGAGACAGTCTTATTATTATTTTTTATTATTTAATTTTATTGTTGGGAGGTAGTAGCTCACACCTTTGATCCCAGAACTCTTTTGGAGGCAGAGACGGGTGAATCTCTGTGAGTTCAAGGCCAACATGGTCTACAGAGGGAGTTCCAGGACATCTAGGACTATTACATAGAGAAACTCTATGTCAAAAACAACAACAGAGGGCTGGAGACCTGGCTCAGAGGTTAAGAGCCCTGACTGCTTTTCCAGAGGTCCTGAGTTCAATTCCAGGCAACCACATGGTAGCTCACAAGCATCTATAATGAAATCTGGTGCCATCTTCTGGCATGCAGGCATATATACACTATATACATAATACATAAATAAATTTTTAAAAACGACAGAAATAAAGAAAAATATTAATTTTATAGACATTAATTTTTTTGCCTGCATATATGTCTGTACACCATTTGCATGTAGTACCCACTGAGGCCAGGAGAGGGAGTTGGATCCCATTGAGCAGTAGTTACAGGTAGTTATGAGCAGCCAAGTGGGTGTTGGGAATCAAATCCAGGTCTTCTGGAGGATCAGTGAGTGCTTTTAACTGCTGAGCCAATTCTGCTGGTCAGAGACACAGTCTTAAGTTGTATTGTTCAATTTCTCTGTGTCCATCCAGATTCACCAGAGACCAGAGGCAACCATGGAGGGGCAGTTTGGTTAGTCACCCAAAAAGCAAGGAACTCAACCCAGATTCAGCTGCCAAGCAGTGGGCTATAGCAGTTGGATGACACCCACGGTACCTGACATCCCCACTGAGGGGTTCAGGCTCAAAATCTGTGTCTGGGAATGCAGTTTGTAAATATGCATAAATTGGGCACACACGTGTGGTCGCAGGATAACTTAACGCAGTTGTTCCTCCCTGTCTACCTTGTGTATAAACCAGAAGTCAACGCTGGACACCTTCCTCAATGGCTCTCCACCTGACTTTCTGAGCCTGGAGCTCATCAGCTGGACTCCAACATTGGGACTTTTTACACGGATCCTGGAATTCCAAAGGAGGATCTCATGCTTGCACTTATGGATGGCACAAAAAGTATTAAAGTTCTCAAGATGCTAAACTGAAGTAACCAGGCTGTGAAATGTCCTCGGCAAACAAAAGAGACTCTGAAAATGCAGTCTCAGATGTGAGTGGTGCAATCTAGAAAGGAGCCAGGTGGAGGTGGCGCACACCTTTAATCCCAGCACTTGAGAGGCAGGCAGATCTCTGTGAGTTCGAGGCCAGCCTGGTCTACAGAGCGAGTTCCAGGACAGTCAGGGCTACACACAGAAACCCTGCAAACAAAACAAAACAAATCTAGAAAAACTGAGATTTCCTTCATTCCAGACTGAATTATAATAAATTCCTGGGCAAAAATAAATCCAAGAAACATAACACTGTGCCACTTTTATTATTTTTCCCTGATTTCTGTCTTTCATTTGAAGTATAAATAAATTACATTTTCCTACTCCTACTTTTAAATTATAAACTTTTTTTGTTTTTTTGAGACAGGGTTTCACTGTGTAGCCCTGGCTGTCCTGGAACTCACTCTGTAGATCAGGCTGACCTGGAACTCACAGAGATCTACCTGCCTCTCCCTCCCGAGTGCTGGGATTAAAGGCGTACGCCACCAGTGTCTGGCTAAATGATAAACTTTTGCATAAATAAAATGATGTCAATTTAGGACTAAGTAATGGAGGAATGAACAAGTCATGAAAGTCTTAGACAGCAAGAAGGTTCCTAAGGCAGGTCAGACATGATGGTGCACTTGTAAGCCCAGCACTTGGGGGAGAGAGACAGGAGGATCACTGCAAGTTTGAGGCCAACCTGGTCTTCTTAGTAAGTTCCAGGACAGTCAGTACTAAATAATGGAACTCTGTCAAAAACACTTGTGGGGGTTCAGGTGAATGACTGGAGAGATGCATCTGCTCCCGCAGAGAACCTTGGCTCACAGGTTCCTGTGATGGACCCAATACGTCTTGCCTCAAGGACACCTGCACACGTGTATACTCCCTTAACTAATAATTAAACATAAATCTTAAAACTCCCACGGCAATATAAACAGGTAAGTCCATACCTCTGAATGCCTGGGTATCAGATCCAGCACATCCCGCTTACTCATGGACCAGTGGAAAGTGAGCATGGGGCTGGCATTGCTGAAGGAGAAAGGAGTCTGGGTACTAGTCACTCCCATGACGTAAACTGGCATCTGAAAACAAAGTGTGATACTGTGCTTTATACCTGCTTACTCGGCATTCTCAGAGCAGTGAGCCCAGAATATGGCTCTCATACCAGCCTCAGAGCTGGCCATGGCGGCACATACCCGGAATCTCAGAGCTGGGCATGGTGGCACATACCCGGAATCTCAGAATTCTGGAGGCTGAAGCACAGGATTTTCTTTGGTTTCAGGCAAACCTAGGCTACATAGCAAGAGTATGAGGAAAACCACATACATAGGAGTTAAGAGCCATTAAGAGCACTGGGTTCTCTTCAAATGGACCCAGGCTCCATTCCCAGCACCCACATGGTTGTTTACAACTGTCTCTAACTCCAGATTCAGGGGATCCAATGCTTTCTTCTGGCCTCCATGGGCATCAGGCATGCATGTGCTATACAGACACGCATGCAGGAAAACATCCATATGCTGGGGGCTGCAGACCCCTGACCCCTTGACTTTCTTTGCCTGCCTCAGACCCTTTGCCTGCTGGAGTGAACGGAACAAAACAACTTGTTTACCTGTGCCTGCAGCTGCTCTGACAAAGAGACCATCATGAGTTCCTGATGGCAGGAGAGTGGATTCTGGTGGGTTTTACAGCTGGAAATCCCAAGAGCTGGGGCGTGGCTATCAGTTAAGGATCCCTACATAAGCTTCCCTGGAGCACAATAAAGTTGGCATTCTTGTTTCAAGGATGACCCGTGTCTCTGCCTGTCTGTGTGTGTGTGTTTTTAAGTCTCCAGCCTAGTTCCCGGCTTGCGTACCGCCCCATAGTCCAGGCGCTACACCCATATACATAAAATAAAAATAAATAACTCTCTCTCTCTCTCTCTCTCTCTCTCTCTCTCTCTCTCTTTTTTTCTGAGACAGGGTTTCTCTGTGTAGCCCTGGCTGTCCTTGAACTTGTTCTGTAGACCAGGCTGGTCTTGAATTCACAGAGATCTGCCTGCCTCTGCCTCTGCCTCCTGAGTGCCTGGATTAAAGATGTGAGCTACCATGCGTGGCAACAATAAATAAATCCCAGAAAAAAATAAAACCAGAGAGGGGAGGGAGAGAGAAACGAAGGCGAACCCACATGCTCTGTACAACTAACCTCAGTGGCTGTGATGAGTCGGGTTGCGGCTGCCAAGATCCTCACAGCCCGTAGCTGGACAACTTCAATCTGGACTTCATCCTGTGCAACAAGGGAGAGCGCGCTTAGCTAAGGGGGTTTCTGCGCTGACAGAGATGCTTACAGCTAGCTCCTTGTACATAGTGTTCCTGATGTTCAACGGCAACAAAAAGCCCGACCACATATGTTTGATTTTGTTCTTTAAAAAAGTTCTGAAGGGCTAGGGACCACACATTACAACAATGCCAAGGGCTCTGTGGGTTCTCCGCCAAAGCCCACATGTTTTCTATACCAGATGAGGGGAGCTAGAAGGACATTCCTGGTCTGATGGCATCCTCCTCGTCACCTGTGCCCATCACCCCAAGATTCAAGAGCAGAGCACAGCAGAGCAGCGGATACCTGGGAGAACACAATGACTTTGCCGGTGTCTTCATTCACTGTCTGGATGGTGCCGTGCACCACGGCTGTGCCGACCACTTTCCCCGTGACTTGTCCCCGCCTGGTAACAGCAGCTACCGTCTGATTGCTGATGGAGAAGTGGATGATGGACTGCGGCTGAGGGCCGCCTTCAGACATTATCTGTAACGCAAACACCAGCGAGCGCCTGCAGTGTGGCAATCACATCCCTTCTCCATCCCTGGACAGCGAACACCACATCAGTTCAAACGTGTGTAGAAGACATGTGTGCTACAAATGGCCCACAGGACTCCCAAGAACAGAGACCTGACTTTCTTCTTCATCAACCCACCTGCCCTGGGTGTACAGGAGATGTGTATGCATGGAAAATAGAAACAGCAAATCATGTTATGCTTTAAAAGTATCTATACTGGGGTCTGAAGAGATGGTTCAGTGGTCAAGAGAACTGGCTGCCCTTCCAGAGGACCAGATTCAATTCCCAGTACCCACATCACAGGTAGTTCTTATGTCCAGTTCAGGGGACCTGATGCCCTCTTCTGGCATCCTTGAGTATTGCATGTGGTATACATAGAGACAAAACACTCATGCACATAAAATAAATTAAATCTCAGCTAGGTGGTGGTGGCACACATCTTAATCCCAGCACTCAGGAGGCAGAAGCAGGCAGATCTCTGTGAGTTCGAGGCCAGCCTGGTCTACAAGAGCTAGTTCCAGGACAGGTTCCAAAGCTACAGAAAAACCCTGTCTCAAAAAACCAAAAACCAAAACACCCCCCCCAAAACCCCAAAAAAACCCAAACCCGCAGAAAAACCCCAAAGAGAGTCACCTGCATCATGTTAGTTGTGATCAGTGTCATTTTCTCCGGGACAAGTCTGAATGGAGGAAATACCTGGAGGGACAGAAGGCAACAGTAGCACTGTCAGCTGCGCTGGCCTATCCTAGGGAACACTGCCGTGTGCAGACAGGAACACAGGCGTAGGCACTGCGGCCTGACGAGCTGGCTGACCCACTGACCTCCACATGCTTGCTGGCTGTGGCATTAGTACCCTCCCGCACACAAACTAAATAAAATAAATGTAAAAAACAGTTAAGATTATATTTTTAATTTCTTTTTTGAACATAAACTATAGAAAACAAAATATCTCATTCTCGGGCAAATGCCACCAAGTGTCAAAAATGTAAAGATATAGGGCCTGAAGAGATGGCTCAGCAGTTAAGAGCACTGGCTGCCCTTCAAGAGGACCCGGGTTCAATCCCCAGCATCTACACGGCAGCTCACAACTGTCTGTAGCTCCAAGCGACCAACACTCTTACAAAGACATATCTGCAGGCAAAACACAACAAATGTTCATGAAATAAAAAAATGAATAAATTAGGCTGGGCAGTGGTGGCACACGCCTTTAATTCCATCACTTGGGAAGGCAGAGGCAGGTGGATCTCTCTGAGTTAGAGGCCAGCCTGATCTACAAGAACTAGTTCCAGGACAGGGTCCAAAGCTACACAGAATAACCCTATCTCAGAAAACAAACAAACAAAAAAAACCAAAAGAAAAAAAACCAAAAATCATTAAGAAATGTAAAGGTATGTTTGCAAACCAACTTCTTACTCTTTTTTCATGCTGGGTATAGAACATAGGGTCTTAGAGACGCTAGGCAAGAACCTTACCACTATTTAGCCAACTTTAGCCCCTATCTTTTCCTATCTTTTGATTATCTATTCATGGTTTTTTTTTGTTGCTGTTGTTTTTTTGTCTTTTTTTTTTTTTTTTTGAGACAGGGTTTCTTTGCCTTGACTGTCCTGAAACTCCCTCTGTAGACAGGGTTGGCCTCAAACTCAGAGATCTGCCTCCCGAGTGCTGGGATTAAAGGTGTGTGCCACCACTGTCTGACTTTTCTTGCTTTCAGCAGATGATGCCACATATTGCCAGAATATGCAGACAGGCTGGCTTTGAACCTGCAACACTCCTCCTACTTTGTCCCCATGCTTGTGCTGTAACCGTTTTACTGACCCAGCCTTCTTCTCAGCCCTGAGAAATAACTTTTAGTAAAAGACTAAGATGAGGGGGCTGATGAGATGGCTCAGTGGTTAAGATCATTGTCTGCTCTTTCAAAGGTCGAGTTCAATTCCCAGCAACCACATGGTGGCTCACAACCATCTATAAGAAGATCTGGTGCCCTCTTCTGGCCTGCAGCATACATGCAGGCAGGTGCTGAATCCGTAATAAATAAGTCTGAACTAAAAAAGACCAAGATGAAGAGCCTGGATAGGGATGGGGCCGTAGTTCAGCTGGTAGAGAGCTTGCCACTCCACTAGACAGGAGTCCCGGGTTCAGGCTCCACTACCACACAAAATGGGACTTGAGTAGCAGATGCCTGTAGCCCAGGACAATGAGGTCAAAGCCAGCATGGAATACATGAGACACTATCTCAAAAACAAACAACAAGAAAAAAGATAGTATTACTTATTTATGTTAAAATAGTCAAAGAGGCCAGGCAAGGTGATGCATGTCTTTAATACCAGGACTTGGAAGGCAGAAGTAGGTAGATTTCTCTGGATTCAAGGCCAACTTAGTCTACATAGTGAGTTCCAGGCCAGTCTGGGCTACAGAGTGAGACCCTATCATAACAAACAAACAAAATATCAATCTGGGAGGATCTGGGAATGCTGCTGCACACTTACACCTGTGTAGAAGAGGAGCTGGGAATGGGGCTGCACACTTACACCTGTGTACCTAGGAGGAGCTGGGAATGGGGCTGCACACTTACACCTGTGTAGAGGAGGATCTGGGAATGGGGCTGCACACTTACACCTGTGTACAGGAGGAGCTGGGAATGCTGCTGCACACTTACACCTGTGTACAGGAGGAGCAGGGAATGGGGCTGCACACTTACACCTGTATACCTAGGAGGAACTGGGAATGGGGCTGCACACTTACACCTGTGTACCTAGGAGGAACTGGGAATGGGGCTGCACACTTACACCTGTGTACAGGAGGAGCTGGGAATGGGGCTGCACACTTACACCTGTGTACCTAGGAGGAACTGGGAATGGGGCTGCACACTTACACCTGTGTATCTAGGAGGAACTGGGAATGGGGCTGCACACTTACACCTGTGTACAGGAGGAGCTGGGAATGCTGCTGCACACTTACACCTGTGTACAGGAGGAGCTGGGAATGGGGCTGCACAATTACACCTGTGTACTCAGAAGCCCAAGGCAGGAGAATCACTGAGCTTAGGAGTTTGGTGCCAGGAGACAGATGGGTGGTGGTGGGGGGAGAAACTGGGGAGACAGGACACTGGTTAAGAGCACTGGCTACAGTTGTCATCAGAGAGGCTTCCTCTGGCAGCTGATGGGAGCAGATACAGAGACCCACAGCTAAACTCTATGCAGCGAGAGCCCCAATTGGAGCTCTCCATCAGGTGCCCTCCTCATGGAGATTGGGGAACTCCACAGACAGGGGGAGAAGAATTGTGGGAGGCAGAGGGATAAATGACACCAGGAGAACATGGTCCACAGAATAAACTGGGCAGGGCTCACATGTGGGTCTGCATAGGTCCTCTGCATATATGTTCTGGCTGTTTAGCTTGATCTTTTCTGAGACTCCTGGCAGTGGGAGTGGGGCGGTGTCTCTAACTCTTGAGACCCTTTTTCTCCTACTGCATTGCCTTGTCTAGCCTTGATATGGGAGTTAGTGCCGAGTTTTATTTTATCTTACTGCCATGTTAAGTTGATGTCCCTGGGAGGCCTGCTCTTTTCTGAAGGGAACCGAAAGAGTGGATCTGGGTGGGTGGGGCCTGGCAGGTGTGGAGGGAGGGGAAACTACAGTTGGGATGTGTTATATAAGAATAAATGAAGAAAAAAGAGCATTGACTGCTCTTCTAGAGGACCTGGCTTTGATTCCCAGCACTCACGTGGTGGCTCACAACTGTGTGTAACTAGTCCCTGAGGATCTGACACCCTCTTCGGGCCTACTTCCTCTGCTTTCTACATGGTACACAGACATACAGACATACAGGCAAAACACTTACACACACAAAAGTTTTTAAAAAAGGAAAAAAAAAGTTGAGAGGAAGTGAATAGGATTAAAAAGGGAAGAAACCCTACTATTTTAATTTTTATTTATTTATTTTTGTATTTTCAAGATAGGGTTTCTCTGTGTAACAGTACTGGCTATTGTGGAACTTGCTTTGTAGACCAGGCTGGCCTCAAACACACAGAGATCCACCTGCCTTTGACTCCCAAATGCTGGGATTAAAGGCGTGCGCCACCACTGTGCAGCTACTTTTTAAATTTTTTTAAAGATTTATTTTATGTGTATGGTATGGTATTCTGTCTGCATGTATACCTGCAGGCTGGAAGAGGGCACCAAATCTCATTATAGATGGTTGTGAGCCACCATGTGGTTGCTGGAAATTGAACTCAGGACCTCTGGAAGAATAGCAGTGCTCTTAACCTCTGAGTCATCTCTTCAGCCCCAGAAAATATACTTTTGTTTGTTTGCTTATTAAAGCAGGGTCTAATTGTGAAGCTCTGGAGGGGCGTGGATCCTTAACTCTCTAGATAGACAAGACTGGTCTCAAACTTGCTACAATTCTCCTGTCTCTGCCTATTGAGTTCTGATATTACAGGAAGCACCACCATAAGTAAATGCCTGATAATGGTAGAGTCATAGATTTTTTTTTGATTTGCTCAAGACAGGGTTTCTCTGTGTAACAGCCCTAACTGTCCTGGAACTAGCTCTGTAGACCAGGCTGGTCTCAGACTCACAGAGATCCACCTGCTTCTGCCTTCTGAGTGCTGGGATTAAAGGCGTGTGCAACCACTGCCTGGCACAAATTTTTTATTCTATTTATTGATAAATTATCTTTAGTGATTTTTGAGACAAAGTCTCACTATGTATCTTTTGCTGTCTTGGAACTTGCCATGTAGTCCAGCCTGACCGCAAACTCACGGAGAACCACCTGCTTCTGCCTCCCCAGTGCTAGGACTAAAGGTGTGTGCTACCACACCTGGCTTATTAATTTATTTTTATTAGTGTGTGAATGCATGTCATATGTGTGAAAGCAGGGGACAACTTTCAGGAGTCAGTTTTCTGCTTCCACCACATGTTCCAGAGACTGAGCTCAAGGGATAATGAGGCTTTCACATCAAGCACTTTTACCAGCTAAGCTGTCTCAGCAGCCCTGCCATGTGTAAACAGAAGGGAGGGATGCTGCTAAGGGAGAATGCGCACAGAGGACAGCGGCTACTCACCTCGATGTGCCGCGGTGTGGATGTGAACTTCCTCCCCATCCTGTCTGTGGCAGTGGCCACAAGTGTGGTTTGCCCAACGGTGACGGCACGGAGCACATAGTTTTCAGAGTACTCATCCTGGTCCTCCATCAGCCTGCAAAGATCAGTGTGGTACTGGTGAGGAAGATCGGGTGGTTTTGGTGGTGGTTTGGCTTGGTTTATTTTGTTTTTCTTTTCTTTTCTTTGTTTTTTTTTTTTTTTTTTGGGGGGTGTGTGTGTGTGTTTGTTTGTTTTTGTTTTTCGAGACAGGGTTTCTTTGTGACTTTGGAGACTGTCCTGGAACTAGCTCTGTAGACCAGGCTGGTCTCAAACTCACAGAGATCTATCTGCCTGCCTCTGCCTCCCAAGTGCTGGGATTAAAGGCGTGTGTCACCACTGCCCAGAGGTTTATTTTGTTTTTCAAAACAGGGTCTCTATGTAGGGCAGACTGGCCTTGAATTCACAATGATCTTCCTGTCTCTGCTTTTCCAATGCTGGGTTTAAATCATGCACCACTAAGTCCTGCTAATATCTGGTTTTGAGAAAGGCCAGTAATTCTTCTTTCTAAGATGCTCAATACATTCTAATTCTGGCTAGAAGGACCTTCTGGAAAGTGCATCTCCAAAGTCAAGCCTAAGCTCCAGGGGAGCAGAGCCTTTTTTTAAGGCTGCAAAGGGGTGAATGCGATGAAAACAGAGGCGGAACGGGGACTACTAAGTTTGTAGCACTTTTTCTTCGTATTTTAAGACAGAATCTCATGTAACCTAGGCTGGCCTTGAACTCCCAATCCTGTCTCTACCTCCCAAGTGCTGGGATGACAGGGGTAAGCTACTGTGCCCAGGGAATCCTTGGATCTCTTCTTTTTCAAAGAAGAATACCGAGAGTGTTCGTTGGCCAACACAGTTTTGAAGGTCTCCAGGCAGAAGCACTCCCAAAAGAGAACATCCAGAGAGAGAGTTTCAGGGAAAAAATGACCTATTTTAGTGCTCAAACAAGACAGTTAGGGCTCTTGACTTTTTACATTTTAATATTTAATTTTATAATTTTAGTTTATGTATATGAGTTCGAGTCCACGTCTGTGCATCACTTGTGTGTCTGGTGCCCATGGAGGCCAGAGAGGGCGTTGGAGTCCCTGGAACTGGAGTTATGTATGGTCGTGAGCTACCATGTAGGCGCTGGGAATCAAACTCAACCACTGAGCCATCTCCCCAGCCCCTACTTTCATATTCTGAGAGAGTTCTATGGAGCATAGGCTGGCCTCGAACCTGTGATCTTTGTGTCTCAGCCTCCCGAATGCTGAGCTTACAGGTACACACCACAGCACCCTGCCTGAATGAATACAGACACAGACTGTGGGAAAGGGCATGGACCAAGTAAGCTACCAAAAAGACAGCAGGGAATCCTTTTGGTAAGGGAAGCTGACCAGGCCACCAGGAGGGAGACTGTCGGGACTGAGCAGAACTTACCTCAGGGTGACAATGGCAGATGCCAGTTGAAGTCTGACATCCATGTTTCTGAAGTATTTGTTCCGAAAAGGGTGTTTGGAAGAGCCAAGAACCCTCACAACCACTAACACGGTTTTGCCAATCTCAACCTAGCAGTTGAAAAAAGTAGCAGGTAACATACGCACTCCACTGAGTAAGGAGGGACAGGCATTTCTACGCATCCAGATGCTCCTGGTAGGTAGGCCTCTGATCAATGACCTTGAAGCTGTGTGCTCTATTTGTAGCCCCCGCCAATGCATTCCTTTCTTTCTTTGTTTATTGTGTGTGCACACTTGTATGTAGCACATTTGTGTGTGCACACTTGTATGTAGCACAATGTGCTAGGGAGGTCAGCACGACTTGCAGGAGTTCCAGGGGAGTCAGGTTCTCAGACTTGGCGTGGGCACCCTCACCCAGGGAGCCATCTACTCGCTCTCTCTGTCCCAGCCTCTCCTCTTCTCCCCTCCCCACTATGTGGCCCAGGCTGGCCTGAAGCTCATTAGGTAGAACAGGTTGGCTTCACACTCACAGAGATCCGCCTGATTCTGCCTCCTGGATGCTGTGATTACTCTTTTTTAAAAAATTAAGTCAGCCAGGTGGTGATGGCACACACTTTTTTTTTTTAGATTTATTTATATATTATGTATACAGTGTTCTACCTGCATGTATGCTGCAGGCCAGGAAAGGGCACCAGAGCTCATTATAAATGGTTGGGAGCCACCATGTGGTTGCTGGGAATTGAACTCAGGACCTCTGGAAGAGCAGCCGGTGCTCTTAACCTCTGAGCCATCTCTCTAGTCTGATGGTACACACTTTTTTTTTTAAAATTTTGTTTTGTTTTTGGAGACAGGGTTACTCTGTGTAGTCCTGACTGTCCTGGAACTCACTCTTTAGACCAGGCTGACTTTGAACTCACAGAGATCCTCCTGCCTCTGTGCTGGATTAAAGGCATTTCGTTAGTCTAAGGTCTGCAGGAGCTGAGCTGAGGAGATACTCTTAAATGTGCTGGGGGAGTGAATCAGGTCTGTGCCACTCTTGACACGAAACAGTGCTCACCTTGTCGATCAGATCCAGCTCCACCTCCTGTATGTCTGACACCCTGAGCCGGGCAGTTGCTGGACCCAAGAAAGCCAAGCACAGGTCGTACACTTCCAAGGTTAGAAATCCAGGATGTACTGGAACCACCTAGAAGGAAGTAGATGGTGTTTAGTGTGAGGCAAAACCACAGACCTGAGCAGAGGTTAAGGTACTTGTATCAGCAGACTCTAACACACCCCTGGCTCCTTAGTCACCAGTAGGAAAAGTTTTCATGAAGAAAACAAATATGTGTGGGCTATGGCTGCAGGTGGAGGGGGCGGTGAAAACGGATGGCACGTGGCTTCTGTCTTTGTATCAAAGCTACTTACCGTGCAGCAGCAGCCGTGATCACCCTGTGTCCACTCCTAGTGTCAGCAGCCGTGATCACCGTGTCCACTCCTAGTGTCAGCAGCCGTGATCACCGTGTCCACTCCCAGTGTCAGCAGCCGTGATCACCGTGTCCACTCCTAGTGTCAGCAGCCATGATCACTGTGTCCACTCCCAGTGTCAGCGGCCGTGATCACCGTGTCCACTCCTAGTGTCAGCAGCCATGATCACCCTGTGCCCACTCCTAGTCAGCAGCCATGATCACCCTGTGTTCACTCCTAGTGTCAGCAGCCGTGATCACTGTGCCCACTCCTAGTGTCAGCGGCCATGATCACCCTGTGCCCACTCCTAGTGTCAGCGGCCGTGATCACCGTGTCCCAGTACCCAGATCACATGTGCCTCTGTATCTCCAGCTCCAGGGGACCAGATGCCTTTCTCTGGCCCTGGTTGCCACTTGCACTTATGTATACACATAATTTAAAAACTAGTAGAATAAAGCATTTATTAAAAACAAGTCTGGGCGGTGTTGGTTCATGCCTTTAATCTCAGCACTCGGGAGACAGAGGCAGGCAGATCTCTGTGAGTTTGAGGCTAACCTGGTCTACACAGTGAGTGCCAGGACATCCAGGACTACATAGGTAGACCCTGTCTCAGAAAAACAAAAATCAAAAAAACAAACAACAAAAAATCCCAACACATCAAAAAGATTGTTGAACCAGGCAGTGGTAATTCACCCCTTTAATCCCAGCACTCAGGAGACAGTGGCAGGCGGGTCTCTGAGTTTGAGGCCAGTCTCTTCTACAAAATGAGTTCCAAGATTGTTACACACAGAAATTCTGTCTCCCAAAATGAAAAAGAAAACAACAACAACAAAGATTGTTCCCTGCAATTGAACTGTCTTCCTTCCAGAGATGCAGGGCCGGCTCCATGTGTACAAGTTAATAAATGGGATACATAATCTACATGGACTCAGGACAGAAATTATATAATTATTTCAGTTGATACAGAAAACATATTTGACAAAATCCAATATCCCTTCGTGATAATAGCTGTGATATGAATTATATTGATAAACTGTCACGTGATGTGTAATCTTCAGAGGCCAGAGGATCCCTGGAACTAGAGTTACAGACATTTGTGAATGTGGGTGTTGGGACTCGAACCCAGGTCTTCTAGAAGAGCAGCCAGTGTTCTTAACCACTGAGCCATCTCTCTTGTTGTGGAATATTCGGGTAACTATGTAGAGGTGTGTTGTTTTTGTTTATGCTTCATTTGTAAACATGTATAAAGATATGAATTAGACACACACACAAACATATACACAGAGATACTACCACACAGACACATACACATAGACAGACAGACGACACACACACCTAAATAATTCAAAACACCAAAACAAAACAAAAAAGCACTTTGACCTGAGAAACCCACCTGGATAGAGCTTTCTGCCTCCGCGTAAATGATGGTGACGATATCTTGCTCACTGCTGTTGACTAGGAAGTAGCCAGACCCTTCCACAAGGCGAAGTACTTCCTGTGGAAAAACCAGACAAACCATTCTTCTGCTCCATTCCTTTGGTTCATAGCCCACAGGAGATGACTTCTCTGTAACAAGAGTGGTGTACAGGCAGAAGACAGACAAGACGGGGCGGCCACAGACCAGCTCTAAGGACACTGCAGCTTGTCCTTCCATGGCTTGTGTGCTTGGCTGTCAACAGCAGGTGAAGCCCCTTGCCGCCTTCCCACAGGAGTCTCCTCACCTTCACGTCAGGGTGGTTGTAGATGGTAGCGTTCTCAGGCCGCACGGTGACATCCTCCACCAGGAGCAGCTCCGCCACTGCAGATCTGGGCGAGTGGGAAGTTTCCTAACCAGGGAGTGAGCACAAAGGACAGCAGAAACTGACCCGTGGAGAAAATTCCAGCTAATGACTTCTAGAGAGGAACTTTACATTTGAGTTCATTTCTATTTCTTTCCCTTCCTCCCTTTCCTTCCTCCCCTTCTTTCCTTCCTTTTCTCATTATTATTATTATTATTATTATTATTAAAGATAGGGTTTCTCTGTGTAGCCCTGGCTGTCCTGGAGTTCACTCTGTAGCCCAGGCTGACCTCAAACTCACAGAGATTGGCCTGTCTCTGCTTCCCGAGAGCTGGGATTAAAGGTGTGTGCCACCACCGCCCAGTCCTTCTTTAATTTTATTAGTTCTTTGAGAATTTCATACAACATATTTTGATCATATCCACCCCTCCCCCAACTCCTCCTAGACTCCCCCTTTCCCTGCCCGCTTAACTTTGTAGACTCTCTCTTTTTTATAAACCGTTGAGTCTTGGGATAGGATCTCATTCCATAGCCCAGGCTAGCATTGCAAGCCTGTGCAGCGGCCATGCCAGGCCCTGTCTATATCCCTGTAATGAGGATTTTCACTCACCTCAGAGCTTTTCTTTCCTGAATAGCCCACGAAGTTGACTGCAATGAGCACAGTCCCCTTCGTTCGATGGACTTTAAGGTTCTGATGGCCTAAAGCAGGAAAACACTGTAAGAGACAGTAACACCCTCTGCAAAGCAGTCTCCTGAAAACCAAAGTCTGTCTCAGTATTTTCCAACATTTACTGTGGAGAGAAAAACACTGAAAGGGGGAAGTCATAAAAAAGAGAACACTTTCACATCTGTCCTGAGAAAAAAGAGAGAGAGAAAGAGAGAGAGAGAGAGAGAGAGAGAGAACACTGGGTTTGCATGACTCCGAGCGAAAATTGACCTCTCATGTCCTTTATTAAATGAGAAATTGGGCCAGGCAAAACCTAAAATTCTTCTTCCTGTAATGGCCTATAATTCCAAAAATGAACAGAAAGCAAATGCATGTGGACATTTTTGTATATAAGTTTTCAATTTATAAATGGCAGTGACAGGGAGTCTTTTGGGGCCTTCTCTTGGCTCCCTACTCTTTATACACATAACAGTCACTCGAAGAATTGAAATGGTGCATCGCTGCTGTTTTTAGTTCAATGTGTATGCGTGCGGTGGTGGGGCACATGTGTCCGAGGGGTTTGTGGGCTCAGTTACCTCCCAACACGCTGAACTACGCCATCATCACCTTTACCCGCTGAGTCAATTTGCTTTACCTCTTTGTCTGTCTGTCTGTCTTGCTCTCTCATTTCTTTTTGAGACAGGTTCTCATTGCATAACCCTGGCTGGCCTCAAACTCACAGAGATCCAACAGTTTCTGTCTCCCGAGTGCTTGGTTAAAGACCTGTGCCACCATGGCCAACCCTCTTTCTTTTCTTTTCTTTAAACAAAGTCTCACATCCCCCTGCTGGCCCTGACTTGCTATAGCATAGACTGTCCCAGGACTTGGGTAGCTCCGGCCTCTTCCTCCTGTCACTGAGCATACGCTACCACCTGATGCTCAGAATGTCTACTTCAGACTAGGAGCAGAGAAAGACCGGAAATTCCCAGTCTTCTGAGAGACAGTTCATAGTTCAGTATGAGTAACATCTAAAGGAACAAGCCAGGGGCAGGAGAGAGCAGAGTTCCTGGGAGCTGTGGGGCAGCTCGGTGTTGGAGCGCTTAGGTAACATCTGAGGCCAGTGTGAAACACTGAGCTGTGTCCTCAGCTCCTTCACATTCATTTTCTATTTTATTTCAAAGATTTGTTTTGTTTTTCGAGACAGGGTTTCTCTGTGTAACAGTTCTGACTGTTCTGGAACTAATTCACTCTGTAGATCACACTGACCCCCAAACTCACAGAGATCCCCTTGCCTCTGCCTCTTGAGTGCTGGGATTAAAGGTGTGCACCCACCACGCCTGGCTGTTTCATGGTTTTGTTATTTTGAGTCAGGGTCTTGTGTAGCTGGAGCTTATCTTGAACTTGGAGGCTGGAAGATGGCCAGGAACTCTGATCTCCTGTTTTGGCCTGGAGGCTGGGATGGCAGAGTTTATCACGCTCTGTTTATATGGCGCTGGAGATCAAACCCAGGTTCTGTGCAGGCTGAGAGGGCAGTGTCCCTGCTCTCCAGCCCAGATGTTTTAGGACAGTCACTGAGGACATCAGTGTGGAGGGGGAGGCAGAGAACGGCAGAGAGGATGCTGTCAGGAAGGATGAGCTCCTGGATGGAGGGAGAAGGTGATGGACCGAGAAGACCACACACTGAGCCATTCGATAAAGGAACACTGGACTTGTGGCTGACTGGTGCTTGTTACACGCAGCGGCTCTTCTGTTCTCCTTGGCACACGACTGTACATCCTGCTGGCCTTAGGGCTGTGCTCCATGCTGTCTGTGTGGTTGTCTCCAGCCACCTCCCACGTGAACGTCTCCTACTGGACTGCCCAGCCGCCAGTCAAGCTCAGCCTGCTCTACTGTCAGCTCCTCGTGGGCAGGGACTAGGTGGAATCTCATTTCTCCTCTAGAGTCTTTCTTTGCTTTATGTTTAAAAATCACCTATGAGTGAGTACATGTGATAATTGTCTTTCTGGGTCTGGGTTATTTCACTCAAAATAATGTTTTCTAGCTCCACCCATTTTCCTGCATAATTCAAGCTGTTGTTATTTTTTTCTGCTGTGTAGTGTAATGTACCACATTTTCCTTATCCATTCTTCAATCAAGGGGCATTTAGTTTGTTTCCAGGTTCTGGCTATGACAAACAAAGCTGCTATGAACATAGTTGAGCACATGTCCTTGTGGCACGATTGAGCATCCTTTGAATATATACCCAAAAGTGTTATTACTGGGTCTTGAGGAAGGTTGTTTCCTAATTTTCTGAGAAATTGCCACACTGACACCCAAAGTGGCTGTACCAGCTTGCATTCCCACCAGCAATGCAGAAGTGTTCACTTTTCCCACAACCTCTCCAGCATAAGTTGTCATCAGTGTTTTTGATCTTGGCCATTCTTACAGGTGTAAGATGGAATCTCAGAGTTGTTTTGATTTGCATTTCTCTGATGACTAAGGATGTTGAACATTTCCTTAAGTGCCTTTCAGCCATTTTAGATTCCTCTGTTGAAAGTTCTCTATTTAGGTCTGTACTCCATTTTTTTTTATTGAATTATATGATCTTTTGGTGTCCAATTTCTTGAGTTCTTTGTATATTTTGAAGATCAGACCTCTGTCTGATGTGGGGCTAGTGAAGATCTTTTCTCATTCTGTAGGCTGTCATTTTGTCTTATTGTGAAGTCAGGGATTGTGATGCCTCCAGAAGTTCTTTTATTGCACAGGATTGTTTTGGCTATCCTGGGTTTTTTGCTTTTCAAATGAAGTTGAGTACCATTCTTTCGAAGGCTTTGAAGAATTTTGCTGGGATTTTGCTCGGCATTGCGTTGAATCTGTCTTCTTCTTTTTTAATCTTACCTGTGTGTTTAAAGTGTGTGAGGGGGCATGCCATGGAACACTGTAGACCTCAGAGAACTTTTTTCCCCCAGTGTTCAGTTTCTTTTGATGACCCCTGACTCCCTGAAGGGGGGGTGCAGGCAGCTAGATGAGAGTAAGAGGTGCTCACTTGAAGAGTTTGCCTTGATTGGCGGCTTTGCAGACATGCTGGAAGCCATTCCCAGGAAAAGTACTCTGGGACTGGGCTCTGGGGCTCTTTGCTGTGAGGATGCAGTTTCTATATAGACTCAAAGTCCACTGGTCAATTGTACTCTAGAAAGGCAAGCTCCTGACCCTAGAAGACCCACACTCCGGAGAGGGAGCCAAGAAGGAAAGAGTCCGGTTGCTGGAACATTCCAGCAATGAAGCTGCAGCTCATGGAGAGAGCTCTTCAGAGAAGCAGTGTTTAGAGCAGCACAGGGACCAGCCATCTTCATCAAATACTCTCCAAACAGAGCACTTACCGCCACCTGTGCGACACAAAGGCGCTCCTGGGCTGGGGGGGGGGAGGTGGGGGTAGGCTCTTGATTCTCTGCCCATAAGTCCCTTCCTTTTGTAGGCAGGCTCTCTGCAAACTTCTTAGCATCAAGCTGGTCCATTCTGTCACCTTTTCGCCTCCCCTAAGACAGCTCTGCACCAGGGTGGTTAATACAAGTAAGGAACCAGTGGTTAACTCTAGGGCAGACCCAGCAAAGGACAGAGCCACGGCTGGGTATAAACAGCTGTGAAATCAGCCAGTGTCACTTGCCACCCGCTAAAAAGTCCTCATGTTCATGCGAGCACACTGCGGCCTCAGGATCCCCCTACCTCTCTGCGTTTTCAGTCTATTGTGGGGTAGAATGCCCAAGGCTGGTGAGACAATGTCACTATCAGCAAAGCTCAACCACGACATCACTCAGCTGCGGCCTCTGAAGTATTTCCAAATCTCCTTGTTTCATACGTAAGTGGCAGCATTGCTCCAAAACCAGACTTCATCGTCACTCTCAATGCTGGAACCTTGCCAGCGGGAAAGACGTTTGTGCAGTTGCTTTGCCCAAAGTGAAGCGGCTGGTGAGAAGGGCACACTGACCTGAGCCTCACTAGTGGTGATGAGGACCTCGGAGGCCTCTGATTTTCAGGATATGTATGTACAGCCTCTGCCACCATAGTGATTCTATAGAGATAGGGAATGGGACTGTAGGTTCAGAGAACATCTTTGAGGGGTCAGCTCTCTCCTTCCACACTTCAATGGGCTCTGTGGGTTCAAAAGAGGTCTCTAATCTTCAGTAGCAAGCACCTTAACTACTGAGGCATCTCATGGGCCCAGACCAGTGATCCTACTGCCTCTACCTCCAAAGTGCTGAGATTACAGGTATGAGAGCCACCACGCTGTTTATATAGTGCTAAAGACCGAATCTAGGGCTTCACAGTTAGGAAAACACTTCCAAATGGGCAACATTTCCAGATATTCCCATTTCTCTTTCTCTCCTTTCTCACCCCTCTGGATTTCTCAGCACTGGGGATAGGCCCCAGGGGCTCACACGGGCTACATATATGGTCTATCACAGGCTACATAGATGGTCTATCACCAAGTGGCACTGCCAATCCTGCCTTCATGTTTTTCTATTAAAAAAGCACAAATAGATGGGCAGTGGTGGCATCGCCTTTAATCCCAGCACTCAGGAGGCAGAAGCAGGCGAACCTCTCGAGTTCGATGGAAGTTAGCCTCATCTACAGAGTGAGTTCCAGGACAGCCAGGGCTACCCAGAGAAACTCTGTCTTGAAAAACAAAATACAAAGAAAGCACATATATCAAAGATGAAGGCAACATGATGAAATTTGGAAGGAAACAACTGCTCACAGGCAGCATGTGAACCCCGTAGCAAATGCCTGGTTACACCCGCAGGCCTCTTACAGTACCGTGCAAATGGGTCTGTCCACTGCCATCATCTTTGGCTACCATCTCCATTGACTTAGAGTCTTCAAAATGGGCTAGCGTCTCATTGGAAGATTTCCATTCGAGCATTAATGAACTGAAATTATCAAACTTCCTCCCATGTTGATCAAATACTGCCAGTTCCAGGACTGAGTCCCTGAGGCTGGACACAGGAATCTACATGAAAAGAAAAAGTCAGAAAGGACTTTTTATAAAAATTTGAGGCCATCAGATCAGCTCAGTGGGTTAGTCCCTTGCTATAAAATCCTGGAATGGATTCTATCCCTGGAACTAATAAAAGATGGAAAGAGAGAAGCAGCTTCACAAAGTAGTCCTCTGATTTCCACACACAAACCATGGCAAACATATTTGTACACACACACAAAACATATGAACACATACAATAATTTAGTTAATTCAGTAGCTATGCTTGAAGACAGAAATTACATCTCCTCTCAGCCTTGGCCCAGTACTTGTTAACATGGGGTATGTGTGCTTCCTCTTCCTCTTCCCTTTATTCCTCAGCTTCAGGGCTTGGGGGCAGTGATGTGGGTGTCACCTGTGTGTGCTGTGATTACCATTAATGAATAAAGAAAGTGCCTTGGCCTGTTGATAGGGCAGAACTTAGATAGGCAGGAAAGACTAAACTGAATGCTGGGATAAAGAAGGGCGGAGTCAGAGAGACACCATGGAGCCACCAGAGTCAGACATGCTGAAACTTTGCTGGTAAGCCACTGCCACATGGCGATACACAGATTAATAGAAATGGGTTAAATTAATGTAAGATTTAGCCAATAAAAAGCTAGAGCTAATGGACCAAACAGTGATTTAATTAATATAGTTTCTGTGTGATTATTTTGTGGCTGAGCGTCTGGGACCAACAAGCGGTTCCCTCTTTCAACAGGGAATTTTGTTAGCTGCATTTTGATTTCTGAATGATGTAACTATTATGGCACTTTACCCTACCCACATGCCATGTATGTCCATGTGTGTATCCATGCCCACGTATGCAGGTACCCACTGGCTATGTGCATGTGTATGTTCATGTGTGTATCCATGCCCACGTATGCAGGTACCCACTAACTATGTGCATGTGTATGTTCATGTGTGTATCCATGCCCATGTAGGCAGGTACCCACTGGCTATGTGTATGTGTACGTCCTCCATGCGTGTATCCATGCCCACTGAGATTAGAAGGACTCATAGAATCTTCTGGAGCTGGAGTTACAGGTAATTAGGAGCTGCTGGATGTGGGTGCCGGTAACTAAACTCAGGTCTGCACAAGAACTAATCACTTGTCCATCTCTCCAACTGCCCTGTGCTTAAGAATGCCAACGTAAGTTCTGGGGAAATGGCTCAGAGGGCTTTACAGCGCTTGCACTACAAGCATGAGCACCTGAGCTGAGACCCCTGGAACCTGCATAAAGCCTGATACAGTGTGTGTCTCTGATCTTAGCGCCTACAGCAAGATGGGAGGTGGAGACGGGGGGGGGGGCCCCCCCCAGAAAGGTGGCTAGCCTAGCATGCGCAGTGGTGAAGAAGACCCTGTTTCAAACATGATAGAAGGAAAGAGCTGGTACTTGTGGCTGCTCTCTGACCTCCACTTGTGTGTCACAGCCCAAGCATGCAGGTGCATGCACACGCGCATTCGTGCTCACACACACTCACTCACACACACACACACACACACACACACATTAATGTAGCATCATTAAATACAGAGTCAATATCTCAATTCCCCCTATATATTCCACCAAATGTTTTTTAAATCTTTTTAGGAATTTTGTTGCTTCATTATTTAAAAAAGGATTTCATCTTTGTCTATGTGTATTCATGTATACCTAAATGTGCATGTGAGCCATGTATGTGCCGGTGCCCAAGAGGGCCAGAAGAGGGTGTTGGGTTTCGTAAACTGTGGTTACAGGAGTGAAACTCCTGACATGGTTGTTCCTAACTGTTGAGCCACCTTTCTAGTCCTGATTCGACTGCGTGTAAGGACACTTAGTCCCTGGGCTGGCTAGCTTTATGTCAACTTGACACAAACTCCGGTCACTTGAGAGGAAGGTGTGAGAAAATGCCTGTACTAAAACAGGCTTCAGTAAGAGGGCATGGAGAGTGGGGGGGGGGGGGCCCGCGCGGTAACAGGGCCATCAGGCACTGGAGAGCAGGAAGAGAGGGGTGGGTGTGGGGAGCCGCAGTAGCACACACCTGTAATCCCAGCATAGCTGAAAGCTGCATTTCAGACCCTTGCAAACACTTGAGACAAAAGTGCCTGTGTCTTTGGAGCACAGTCTGCACTTACCAGCTGCTTGTTGTACTGCGGCAGAGGACATGGCTGAGTGCCAGTTGCCACCTTGTACACTGGTGTCACCAACATGCTGGCAGGGTGGGCACAGATGAAGCGCACCTGCACTGTTTCCACAGAGGGACTAGGGTTCAGAACACCTGGGTGATTCCCAATCCGTACCGTGAGGACCTTTAAGGAAACATCAGAGGGTTATTTACATGTATACTGTGCCCAACTACATAAGTCAGAATGAACCTAATGCCATTGTAGAGGAGCCCTTCTGAATATAATAATCAGACAAATCTCTTAAAGGTATGTGCCTTCCCCACTATACATTAAATAATCTATTTTTATGTGCATTGTTTTGCCTGTATGTATGTGGGAGAGAGCCAGACCTTCCGGGACTGGAGTTACACACTGTGAGTTGTCACATGGGTGCTGGGAATTGAACCTGGGTCCTCTGAAGAGCTGCCAGTACTATTAACTGTTGAGTCAGATCTCCAGCCCAAATAATCTGTTTTTTAAATGGCAGAAAGCAATCAAGAAAGAGAGCAGGGCTACACAGATGATAAGTCCAGTCTCGTAAAACCAAAACCAAAAAAGTATTAATTTATAATATAAATTGAAATGAAGCATAAATTTGCATTTCAAAAAGCACTGGAAGCACTGCCTGCTCCATCCCACGTTCTCAGCAGACAACCCACTATCAGTGACTCAGGTGTGGCTAACAACAGCAGCTTCATTTCCTTGTAAGAAGAATAAAAATACATAAGTTTGTGACTTCAGGATGGAAAGCCGTTCATCCCTTTACTCTTTGGAACTTCTTGTTTTTTGTCTTTTTGAAAAAAATTATTATTTTTGTTTTTAAGATTTTTAAAATTAGGGCTAGAGAGATAGCTCAGTTGTTAAGAGCACCGGCTGCTCTTCCACAGATTCTGGGTTCAATTCCCAGCACCCACATGGCAGCTAACAACTGTCTGTAACTTCAGTTCCAGGGGACCCGACACCCATGGAAATGTACATAAAATAAAGTTAAACAAAAAATATTTTAAAAAAGATTCTCACCAGGCAGTGGTGGTGTACGCCTTTAATCCCAGCACTCAGGAAGCAGAAGCAGGCGGATCTCTGTAAATTCGAGGCCAGCCTGGTGTATAACAGGTAGTTCCAGGACAGGCTGTGTTACACAAAGAAATCCTGACTCAAAAAACCAAAAAAATAAAAAAGAAGACGATTCTTAAAATCGTGCGTGTGTGTGCACATGCATGTGTGTGTGCGTGTGCGTGTGCGCGCGTGCGCAGTGGGTGGATGTGCCCACAGAGGCCACAGGCGTAGAGATCCTCTGGAACTAAAGCTATAGGCAGTTGTGAGCCTATTGACGTAGGTGCTGGGAACCAAACTCAGGTACTCTGAGAGAGCAATAGGCTCTCCTTAATTACTGAAACAACTCTCTGGCCATGAAGACCTGTGTGTGTGTAGTTGTGTGTGTGTAGTTGTGTGTGTGTGTGTGTGTGTGTGTGTGTGTGTGTGTGTGAGAGTGTAAGCCCTGTGTATACAGGAGCCCACAAAGACCAGGGGATGATCTTTTGGAGCAGAAATTACAGGCAATTGTGAACCACAGCTACTCAGCAGTCGTGGTCACTTGTGCAGTCAAAATTACAGTGTGGAAATAGCACAAAATATCTCGGAGTAACTCTAACCAAACAAGTGGAAGACTTATATGACAAGAACTTTACATCTTTGAGGAAAGAAATTGAAGAAGACACCAGAAAGTGGAAAGATCTCCCATGCTCTTGGGTAGGTAGAATTAACAAAGTAAAAATAGCAGTCTTACCAAAAGTAATCTACAGATTCAATGCAATGGCCATCAAAGTCCCAGAAAAATTCTTCAAAGACCTTGAAAGAACGGTACTCAGCTTCATGAAAAAGCAAAAAACCCAGGATAGCCAAAACCATCAAATACAATAAAAGAGCTTCTGGAGGCATCACAATCCCTGACTTCAAACTCTACTACAGAGCTACAGTACTGAAAACAGCCTGGTATTGGCATAAGAACAGACAGGAGGACCAATGGAACTAAACAGAAGACCCAGATATTAATCCACACATCTTCGAATACCTGATTTTTGACAAGGAAGCAAAAAAATATCAAATGGAAAAAAGAAAGCATATTTAACAAGTGGTGCTGGCATAACTGGATATCAACATGTAGAAGAATGAAAATAGATCCATATCTATCACCATTCACAAAACTCAAGTCCAAATGGATCAAAGACCTCAACATAAAGCCAGCCACACTGAACCTCATAGAAGAGAAAGTGAGAAGTACACTTGAATGCATTGGCACAGGGAACCACTTCCTAATTAGAACCCCAGCAACACAGACACTGAGAGAAACAATTAATAAATGGGACCTCCTGAAACTGAAAAGCTTCTGTAAAGCAAAGGACACAGTCAACAAGACAAAATGGCAGCCTACAGAATGGGAAAAGATCTTCACTAGCCCCACATCAGACAGAGGTCTGATCTCCAAAATATACAAAGAACTCAAGAAATTGGACACCAAAAGATCACATAATTCAATAAAAAAAATGGAATACAGACCTAAATAGAGAACTCTCAATGGAGGAATCTAAAATGGCTGAAAGACACTTAAGGAAATGTTCAACATCCTTAGTCATCAGAGAAATGCAAATCAAAACAACTCTGAGATTCCATCTTACACCTGTAAGAATGGCCAAGATCAAAAACACTGATGACAACTTATGTTGGAGATATTGTGGGGAAAAGGGAACATTTCTGCATTGCTGGTGGGAATACAAGCTGGTACAGCCCCTTTGGATGTCAGTGTGACAATTTCTCAGAAAATTAGGAAACAACCTTCCTCAAGACCCAGTAATACCATTTTTGGGTATATATCCAATGGATGCTCAATCGTGCCACAAGGACATGTGCTCACCTATGTTCATAGCAGCTTTGTTTGTCATAGCCAGAACCTGGGAACAACCTAAATGCCCCTCGATTGAAGAATGGATAAGGAAAATGTGGCACATTTACACAATGGAGTAATACACAGCAGAAAAAAATAACAACAGCTTGAATTATGCAGGAAAATGGGTGGAGCTAGAAAACATTATTTTGAGTGAGGTAACCCAGACCCAGAAAGACAATTATCACATGTACTCACTCATAGGTGGTTTTTAAACATAAAGCAAAGAAAGCCAGCCTACAAACCACAATCCCAGAGAATTTAGACAACAATGCAGACACTAAGAGAGACTTACATAGATCTAATTTACATGGGAAGTAGGAAGTAGAAAAAGACAAGATCTCCTAAGTAAATTGGGAGCATGGGGACCTTGGGGGACAGTTGAAGGGGTAGGGAAGAAGCAGGGAAGGGAGCAGAGAAAAATGTAGAGCTCAATAAATAGCAATAAAAAAATTTAAGCTTATTTATTGTATTTTATCTTATTTACTTATTTTGGTTTAAAAAAATACAGTGTGGATGGGAACGGGACCCCAAGGTCCCATCGCTCTATAGGAGGAGCCGTTGGCAGTTAATGGCTACTGAGGAAGAATCACTCTTCTTTGGAGATATGGCTGTTCATGCCCTAGTGGACACACCCATTAGACTATGGGTGCTACCACATAGTAGACCCACCGGGTTACTAACAATACTTCACACAGAGGCCACTGGAGGGCAAGAGGCAGCTCCCTCCACCTCTCTGCTCTATTCCTTTGAGGCAGTCTTTCTCTGAACCTGGAGCCCTGGAGGAGGGTGGGATGGTGTGTGTTTGTTTTTTTCCAGTTAAGTCAGAAGTTGGGGTTCCAGGTGTGGGCAGGACTGCGTCTGGCTTATAGCATGGGTGCTGGGACCAGAGCTCTTCAGACTCTTCAGATCAGATCAGAACTTAGTAGCTAAAACATGGAAGCAACCAAAGTGTCCATCAATAGACATGAACATTCAACACAGATACACACACACACACACACACACACAAATGTATATACATACACACACAAATATGTACGCACTGAGATATTATATATCATAACTGGGATCAGAACTCTCCAGAACTCCTCATGCTTTTAGACAGGAAAGTGCTCTTAACCCCTAAGCTTAGTTTTTCTAGTCCCTGAAGCTTATTTTTATTAGGAAAACCTGAGCAGACACAGTAGTGAATGGAAATGCTTTACTAGTGAGGACAGAGAGAAAGGGATGGTGCACAGTGCTGGCAGAGTCAGCAGTTCCGATGCGCAGAGAAGTGTAGCAACCCTCAGAACCCTGAAAAGAACTTACTGTAGGAGTCAGCAAGTCCACTTCTTCATAGCTGGCGGGGCGGGGGGGGGAGAAGAGTCTTTTGTTTTGTTCTTGTTTTTTGAGACAGGGTTTCTCTGTGTAGCCCTGACTAGGGGCTGGGTAGATAGCTGAGTGTGCAAATGTGGGGGGCTGGAGTTTGGATCTCTATAACCTACCTAAAAGCCAAAAAGGCATGGTAGCCATCTGTAATCCCAGGACCAGAGACGGCACACAAGAGCAAGCTGGCTAGCTAGACTAGCAAGATCCAGGCTCAGCAAGAGACCTTGTCTCAATAAATAAAACGGAGAGTGATTAGCAAAGGCATCCAATGTCAACTGCAGGCTATATGGGCATCTGCACGTGTGTGCCCGCACATGTGTGAATACAATCTCTACATGGCACACAGGGCACATGTGAAGAAGGAAATCAGGCTAAGGAAGCTAGTGAAACCCAGAAAAAAGTTATATGGGCCTGGTTTGCTGGCACACAAAACTGGGAGGCAGTGGCGGGTAGGTCTCTGTGAGTTCAAGGCAAGCCTGACCTGCAAAGCAAGTTCCAGAATAGACAGGGTGCATCAAGACTATCTCAAAAAACCAAGCCAAAATATAGATATGTAAGTATCCAAAAGTTAAAAACAAAAAAACTGGGGGGGGGGGGGGAAGAGAGATGACCTAGTGGTTAAGAGCATGGCACACTTACACACATGAAGGCAAATACAAGTACACATAAATAAAACGATTGCGACATCATACTAACGCCAGACAATGATGAGGCCCCGCACCTTCAGTCCCAGCACTCAGACAGGCAGAGGCAGAGGCAGGTGGACCTCTGAGTTCAAGGCCAGCCTGGTCTATGAGACAGTCAGATAAACAGAGAAACCCTGTCTCAACAAACAAGGGAGGGAGGGAGGGAGGGAGGGAGGGAGGGAGGGAGGGAGGGAGGGAGGGAAGGAAGAGGCTATTTTCCTTACTTGTTCTCCTAAATCCAGGCACAGGACTCGGTAGACATATTGGTTCTGCTTCCTCTTAGCTGGCAGCCGGGCCTCTGTTACTCTAATGCTCTCTGGCTTCTCCATGCTCAGTTCCAAAAAAAATCGGGAAGGCTCCAAGATCCACGGATGAGGGCCCCCTTCAAACACCATTTCCTTCACAGACTGCCACGTCACCAAGGCCACTTCCACCGGGTTCACAGCCTGAAGCAGATTCATCTTACATAGTTAGGGAATTGTTTTATTATTATCTGTTTGGAAAGAGTTTGGTCTCCCATACTCCTGGATCTGATCCTCTTGCCTCCACCTCCCCAGTGCCTGGATTAAATATCTATCAGTCGGGCACTGGTGGCGCAAGCCTTTAATCCCAGCACTCAGGAGGCAGAGGCAGGTGGATCCCTGTGAGTTCCAGGCCAGCCTGATCTACAGAGAGAGAGTTCCAGGACAGGCTCCAAAGCTACACAGAGAAACTCTGTCTCAAAAAGCAAAAACAAACAAAAAAATCTATTTATCTCTCCCCTGTCTGTCTGTCTGTCTGTCTATCTACCCCTTTCCTCTCAAAGCTCTCCCATATATTCCCCTTGCTCTCTTTCAGATTCATAACCCCTTTCTCTCTGATTACTATTACCCACACCTTTTCTCTATAATTTTTTTGAGACAGGGTCTCTCCTTTATTATAATTTTCATTTTATGTGCATTGGTGTTTTGCTTACATGTATGCCTGTGTGAGGACATGTATATCTGTGTGAGGGTGTAGGCCCCTTAGAACTGGAATAACAGGCAGCTGTGAGCGGTCACGTGGATGCCGGGAATTGAACCCTAGGTTCCCCGGAAGAACAGTCAGTGCCCTTAACCTCTGAGCCACCTCCCCAGCCCCTATAATTTTTGTTTTGAGATTATAATCTTTTAACTTTATTTTCATTATTTATTTATTTTGAAAACAGGTTCTCACTTATGTAGCCTTGGTTGCCCTGGAGCTTGCTCTGTAGATCAGGTTGACCTCAAACTTGAGACTCACCAGCCTCAGCATCCTTAGTGCTGGGATTAATGCATCTGCTATCATGCCTGACTGAGAATATAACACATTTATATAGTTTTCTCTCTTCCCTCTTCTCCCTCCAATTCCTCTCATGCACCTCTCCCTTGTTCTCTCTCAAGTTCATGGCTTCTTTCTCTTTGCCGTTACATACGTATAAGTATTTATGTGTATATAAATATATATTCCTAAGTACACAAATACAGCCTGTCCAGTCTGTATAATGTGTGTTTTCAGGGCTGACCATCTGGCATTGGATACTGTGCTGGATAGTTTATGTCAACTTGAGTGGGGGAAACCTCAGCTAAGAAAATGCCTCCAGTCGGGCAGTAGTGGCCCATGCCTTTAATCCCAGCACTTGAGAGGCAGAGGCAGGTGGGTCTCTGAGTTCGAGGCCTGGTCTACCATAGCTAGTTCCAGGACAGGCATCAAAGCTGCACAGAGAAACGCTGTCTTGAAAAAAAAATGCTTCCATAGCTGGGCAGTGGTGGTACAAGCCTTTAATCCAGTACTTGGAGGCAGAGGGCAGAGGTTGGTGGATCTTTATGTGTTCAAGACCAGCCTGGTCTACACAGTGAGTTCCAGGACAGCCAGGGTGACACAGAGAAACCCTGTCTTGAAAAACCAAAAAGAAAAAAAAAATGCCTCCACAGGATAAAGCTGTAAGGAATTTTCTTAATTAGTGATTGATGGGGAAGGCCTGGGTCCATTGTGGGTGGTGCCATCCCTGGGCTGGTCCTGGGGTCTGAAGGAAAGCAGGCTGAGCAAGCTGTGGGAACAAGCCAACAAGAAGCCCCTCTCCAAGGCCTCTGCATCAGCTTCTGCCTCCCAGATTCCTGTAAGGTTTGAGTTCCTGTCATGACTTCCTTCGATGATGCGGAAATGTAAGCCAGAAGAACCGTTTCCTTCCCAACGTGTTTTTGGTCATGGTGTTTCCTCATAACAACAGTAACCATAACTAAGACAAGAACCAGCTGGTGCCTCTTCCATGGAGGGGACCATGGCTCCTGCTTTCAGCTTCCTTCGCTGCCTGTAGGGCTTCTGTGTGGGGTTGAGGCCCTGTGAGGTCTCCCTCTTCCGCTTTAGCACAGATCCCCTCACTCAGGTCACCTCTGGGCAGTTCTACAGCGCCATATGGTGCTCTTACCTGCCAAGTCATCTATCTAGCCCCTCAATTTTAGTTTTTGATGGAATTAAGCAAATAGGTAGGCTCTCCCTGCTTTTATTTTGAACCACTTGTCATAATATTTAATGGACTAACCCTAATGGCCCCAAATAATGGCTGCTATTCTGAAAATACATAAACACGAGGGGGTAAATATGACTGACTCCTCTGCCATAGGACAGGAGGTTGCTGAAAGATCGCTATCTTCAAAAGGAACTGTGCTAGTAGTCTGTGTGAGGTGTGCCTACAGAGATATATACATATGTAAAAATCAGATATTACCTTAGAATTGATGTCTCAGGTGATTAATTTCCCACAGCTTATACCTCATTATTAAATAAGAAAGTTAAATACCTAAAATTTGCTAATGCAAGATAAAGATAATATTTTATATTATTACTAATGACAGGTGGAGATGTGGTTCAGTTGGGGGCGGGGTTATTTGCTTATTGGTTGGTTGATTGGAAGCTTGCCTAGCATGCATGAGGCCTGTGTTCCAACCCGCAGGGCATGAACTGCGTGTGACTGAATACTACTGTAACCCCACACTTGTGATGTAGAAACAGGAGGAGCAGAAGTTCAAGATCATCCTTGGATACATGTCTAATTGAAGCTCAGCCTGGGCTACATGAGACTCCGTCTAAAAACAAACAAAAAAAAAAAGAAGAAGAAGAAGAAAGGAAGAAAAGAAAAGAAAAGCTGTTCCTGAATGAGTTCATTCAGGCAGCTTGGGGGATAAACTCCCACAGATCCTGATGGCTGAGCCTTCGTGGAGAGGACGGGCGGCAAGTAGCCAGGGCTTTACCAGGCCTAGCGACGGACAGCTCACCTTTAGAGGCTCGTACGCAGCAAATGTGGCGCTGCTCGCAGCCTGCTCTTCATGCCCAGTCACACTGACTGTCAGCACAGTGTGGCCTGCAGACGCGGCTGCTATGTGCACACTAGAACAGTGCATTGGTCCAGGGTTTTTAATACCTTTCAATCAAAAGACATGGTTTCAAACAGACATGGTGACACTTGGGAGGTTTTATGAATATATAAAAAAGAGCAGAGGAACACCTACTTCACTACAGTTGACAGAATGAAGGTGTCACAGAGAAGGTGCAGGGTAAAGGTGTCACAGAGAAGGTG